AACACTCACCTAAAGTATTATTAGGAACACCATACTAATACTGTGTTTGACCCCTTTGGCCTTCAGAACTGCCTTAATTCTACGTGGCATTGATTCAACAAGGTGCTGAAAGCATTCTTTAGAAATGTTGGCCCATATTGATAGGATAGCATCTTGCAGTTGATGGAGATTTGTGGGATGCACATCCAGGGCACGAAGCTCCCGTTCCACCACATCTCAAAGATGCTCTATTGGGTTGAGATCTGGTGACTGTGGGGGCCATTTTTGTACAGTGAACTCATTGTCATGTTCAAGAAACCAATTTGAAATGATTCAGCTTTTTGACATGGTGCATTATCCCTGCTGGAAGTAGCCATCAGAGGATGGGTACATGGTGGCTATAAAGGGATGGACATGGTCAGAAACAATGCTCAGGTAGGCCGTGGCATTTAAACGATGCCCAATTGGCACTAAGGGGCCTAAAGTGTGCCAAGAAAACATCCCCCACACCATTACACCACCACCACCAGCCTGCACAGTGGTAACAAGGCATGATGGATCCATGTTCTCATTCTGTTTACGCCAAATTCTGACTCTACCATCTGAATGTCTCAACAGAAATCGAGACTCATCAGACCAGGCAACATTTTTCCAGTCTTCAACTGTCCAATTTTGGTGGGCTCTTGCAAATTGTAGCCTCTTTTTCCTATTTGTAGTGGAGATGAGTGGTACCCGGTGGGGTCTTCTACTGTTGTAGCCCATCCGCCTCAAGGTTGTGCGTGTTCTGGCTTCACAAATGCTTTGCTGCATACCTCGGTTGTAACGAGTAGTTATTTCAGTCAAAGTTGCTCTTCTATCAGCTTGAATCAGTCGGCCCATTCTCCTCTGACCTCTAGCATCAACAAGGCATTTTCGCCCACAGGACTGCCGCATACTGGATGTTTTTTCCTTTTCACACCATTCTTTGTAAACCCTAGAAATGGTTGTGCGTGAAAATCCCAGTAACTGAGCAGATTGTGAAATACTCAGACCAGCCCGTCTGGCACAGACAACCATGCCACGCTCAAAATTGCTTAAAATCACCTTTCGTTCCCATTCTGACATTCAGTTTGGAGTTCAGGAGATCGTCTTGACCAGGACCACACTCCTAAATGCATTGAAGCAACTGCCATGTGATTGGTTGATTAGATAATTGCATTAATGAGAAAATGAACAGGTGTTCCTAATAATCCTTTAGGTGAGTGTAAGGCCCTGTCCACACGGACACGGGTATTTTTATAACCGTGACTTTTTTTACGCGGTTCGGCCGTTCGTCCACACGAAAACGCACTGAAACCGAACATTTTTGAAAACCCCTGCCAGGGTGAGGATTTTCAGAAACAGCGGTTAAAGTGTTGTCGTGTAGACAGTGAAACCGTGGTTTTTGCCTTGCGACGTCAGAGTGTGCGCCGTTATCCGCTGTGTTTGACGTCAGATTTGCGCTTCTGCTGGCGTGGCATGCTCTTAACCGCGCTTGATAGTGTGTTTTTGCGTTTTCATGTAGACGGAGACCGAGCATGTGTGGACGGTGTTTTTTTTTTTAAAACGCTGTAGGAAAAACTCCGGTTATAAAAATACCCGTGTCCGTGTGGACAAGGCCTAAGTCTGCATGGTTTTCATCACCTCCTCATGGTCTCATACAAGTCAGTTTGGACAGGAAAACTTCCACAATAACTCTATAACTAGCAGTCACAGGGAAATCTGAACAGGTGTAAATTAAGCCATAATGGAAGTCAGTTGGGCTGAATTTGTCTAAAGGCCCAACACAGAACATTTCGCCTCGTGAACAACTTCAAATTCAGAACCTTACGGCTTCAGGTACGATGATTCCCAGAACCCGCAAGTGAAGGCTTAAGGAACAATTTGCATAGTTTTCCTTAAAGCGAGCATCTCATAAATAAACATGCAAATGCGCATGACCCGCAGGTGTGCAAATGGACTTGACAAAAGAGAATATCATGTCCCCACTTGACTAATTTCCATTCAAAAGTAGGTATAAGATGATAAGGATTGTGCATGTGTTTCCTTTATTAATGTGTTCGTGACACTGAAGATTCAGCACCCGTCACAACGATAGAAGATAAAAGCAAGTTGAATGAAAAACACGTTCCCATGGCAACGGAATGACATCATTGCTGTTAAGATCCAAATTCATAGCGACATGAATATTAATAATTTGAGCAGCGGACGAACATAAAAGTGGGAAAGGAAAAACAAAGCACCACAATTGTTAGTGTCCCTGAACAGCCTCTGACAGTCAAACATATTAAGCTAAGAAGATCTTTAAATTAAAGCGAGTACTTAAGTGTGAAGAATGTTTGCTCAGAATAGCGCTTGTCCTCGACTTCCTAGAAATTTGCAAGTACGCTTCTTTTTTCCCCCTGTTTCTTTTATGCTTTCTCCCTCCCCAACCCCATCCCCCAATATATTACCATCTGAACCACAGTAAGTCAATAAAATCTTCAGCTCAGCAACTGCAGACGGGAGAGAGGGGGAGAGCAGCCCACAAACGGCTTTGATTATATTTTTCCTAGAAAGGAGGATGCTCAGCGAGAGTGCTGGGCGGGCCGCAGCGCTAGTGCCAGGAATTAATGCAGCTTTCATGGAAAACCAGGCAGCGCACCAATCTGGCCTGACTCAAAACACAACTTCAGCTCTTTTTTTCTTTTTTATACCTCGCTCTCCCTCTGTTTTTCTTTTTACGTCTTGTTTTTCTAGAAGGGAAGGGGTTGGGGGGTTTTCAAAGGTGTTCTGGGATTTGGTTGACTGACTGAATGACTAAAAATGGGAGATGCGGAGCGTGAACGTGGGTTGTTAGTGGGTGTTCTGTCCTCTCATGGGAAAACAACAGAAGGCACATAATAAGCTGTCTTTCAGCAAAACAGCAGCTGAAATATATATAGTGCACAGTGAGAACTTTTGTTTCCATAAACATCTGTGCAGCTGAAACAATGGTGTGGATGTAAATAATGCATTTCACAGAATGTATATGCAAACACATTGGCTTTCAAATCATATGGAAATTTGCTATGCTTTAAATGCATTTGTTAGGCTACAGGTTCTCTCTTCTCTGCTAGAATTGGTAACAGAGGGTTTGGTGTTAGGAATTATTAGAGAAGGGCAATTAAACCACATGTTATTTAACTCTCTGGACAGATACGGCAGATACACTGGCTTGACCTCCAGCTTTCATAACCTCATCTCAGTTAAAGGATGAATGGGTTCATTATGAGGCAGAGAGTGAAATAAGGTGAAACAGAGGGAGTGTGAGGGAACAGATAGATAGATATCAATCTAAAATGGCATAATGTTATAGAATCCATGTATATATATATTTTTTTCACATATTTGTTTATTTATAGATTTGTATTACATATTTTATGTTGTATATTAGTAAAATAATAATAACTATAATAAACCATATAATTAAATTACAAACTATACAATATGATGATGCATCAGACAATATGCCATTATAGGAAATAATAGAAACATATGGTAATTTAGAAGTTATAGCGAACTGTCAAATATTAAAAGATGGGGTAAGATTATACGTTTACAGAATGTCAAATACATTTGATATGATTCGTATTCATTTTTTTTTAAGTGTGATTAATGTAAAATACTAAACTACATCTTATTTAGACAATTTAGTTGACAAATCCCTCATTAACAAATAAACAGAAAAAAAAACTTTGATATTCAACATAATACAATGTCATTGATCACTATTTTCCAGAGACATAAAATTAGATCAATTAACCTCAAAACTGGACTGCACTGGACTGACTAAATCTCACATATGTTGATATTAAGATGAAATGACTAAATTAAAAATAGCATAGCCATTCATCAAAAGTTCTGAGATGAGATTTTGTGTCATCTATGGTCAGGAGAAAAAATAAGGTGGGTCTCTTATGCTTATCAAGCCTGCATTTATTTGATCAAAAATACAGAAAAAAACAGTAATATTGATATTATTAATATTTAAAATAATGGTTTTCTATTTTAATATACTTTAAAATATATTTTATTTCTGGGATACAAAGCTGAATTTTCATCAGCCATACTACAGTGTCACGTGATCCTTCAAAAATCATTCTAATATGCTGATTTATTATCACTGTTGAAAACAGTTGTGCTGCTTAATATTATTTTATTACCTTTGATACTTTTTTCAGGATTATTTGATGAATAAAAAGTAAAAAGAAAAAAACAGAAAAAAAAACAGCATTTATTTAAAATAGAAATATTTTGTAACAATACACACAGTTCAAAAGTTTAGGGTCAGTATTTTTTTTATTAAATAAATTAATAATTTTATTCAGCAAGGATATGTTAAATTTATAAAAAGTGATAGTATAGTATTATTAGGAAATATTTCTATTTTACATGCTGTTCTTTTTAACTTTTTATTCATCAATGAATCCTGAAAAAAGTATCATAGTTCCAAAAAAAGTATTAAGCAGCACAAGTGTTTCCAACATTGATAATAGCTGAGTATCAATGCTGAAAATTCAGCTTTGCATCACAAAAAATATTTTAACTATATTTTGAAATAGAAAACCATTATTTAAATTATGATAATATTTCACAATATTACTGTTTTTTCTGTATTTTTGATGTATTCAAGTAAATGCAGACTTGATGAGCATAAGACACTAACAAAAAACCCCCATTAAAAATAGTACTTTTTCCAAACTTTTGACCGGTACTGTATGCTATATACACATAAATTACATTGTTTAAATCAATTCTATTCAAAATGGTTACAATAGTATTAATTTATTACAGTAACTTATATAGCTGTCTGTCTCACACACATGTGGTCTCCGGTTCCCGCCGGTGTAGGATTAACGTTAATCTACACACGCGCGCGCTATTTATTTTCATTTTATGTAACTTATTTGTTTACTGTCATTGTTGTTCTGTGAGATTTAGCTCAAACGATATAGCGCAAGTAGGCTACATACAGGACTCACCTGTGAACGGCGGAGGAGGAGACTCAGACTCGGTGTCTTCCGTACACAGTCGCAGTAATTTGTCTTTGATCCAGGGGAAATCTTTCTCTAATGACTGTGTAAAGTGATAGAAGGCGTGCGAGCCGCGAGTGGGCAGAATATCCAGCAGCTTTAACGTCTTTTTCCTATTAGACGGCTCAGACTCAATCTCCTCTAAATAACTCTCCGTTAATATCCCCTCCTGGTATAAATACTGTATGATCATGTCGTCCACTAAAAGCTCCTCGGCCAAAAAAAGCCGTTGAAATCGGAGCAGTTTTTTGTGTTTTGGGTCCATATTTGAACCCGATGACCTATTTTAAAGCCCGAACTATGCTGAATGTTAACCACAACAACTGACTTGACTATAAAGACATTGCTACAACAGCAGGGGGAATAGCGATGAATCCTCGTTAACTTATCAATAATGGTTGGCAAATGCACATAAAGTAATGTTTGTGTGTGTATCACAGAAACATCACAACTTTGCGCTATTGTTTATAATGTTTTCTGTATTAGGCTACACATTTCCGCGTCATGTGTCGCATTTATTTCTACCGGCTGGAAACGAGGTGCAGGAGGAACTCAAGGCATCTTTCTTGTTCCCACATTTGGCTATTTCCACACAAATGGGCTCTATGCACGGCAGTATTTCCGGTGAAGGTCTAAGGATGCTGGATTACTTCCGCCGATCGTAGAGTAGAATGCTATACCGATCATTTATATTGTTTTTTATACTCTATTGCTATACTAAAGAAACGTTAGTCACAAAAACAGACAAAACAGACACCCCTCACGTTGTTTATGCTTCTTTGTTTATTATATCCTCCTGAGACCCAGAAAAAAAAAAGTTTTTTGAATTTAGTTTTTTTCCATGTCATCACACTGTTTAGAGCACAATAAACAAATGGTAAAAAAAAACATATATATAAAATAATATTTTATTCATACGTTATGCTATGTCCTAGTGGACGCCAGGACTAAGTTGTTTAAAAAATAAAATGACATGAAATTATATGTATAGGCAAAAACAATGGGATTTTTTTTTCAATCACCAATACATTTTGGGGTTTCAGGATTTTTTCAACCAAAATTTGTATAAAGATTATTCTCAACTATGTTATGAAAGAAATAATGGAATGAATTGATACACCATTTTACTTTTTGCAATATGTGGGTAAAATGGCCATAAGTTAATATTCCCATTCAATGCAATTTATCTATACACTGTATCTAATTTGCACATTAATGTGTTCTTGGAGCAACATTTAATGAAAGAATAAGGGTAATAATTGGAGTAATAATTGGCAACATTTTAATAATAATATCTAACATTTCATAGAAATATTGATGTATAATTTATTTCCATATTCACTTGTTGTGTCTCCCAGAATGCCTGATAAACATGATTTTAGTCCTGATGTCCTCTACAGTGGACACGTTTGAAATCAATGCCCTGTTCTGTAACAGAAAGTTTTTTTTTTATTTGAAACCCCGTAACATTTTCCTGAGATGTTGTTTTATGAAATACAATTTGAAAAGTAGTCCAATTTATATTATAATTACACTATATTATCATATTTCCATAAGAATGCTACATTTGATCACTAAATTAATCTCAGACATTTTTAAAGACCAAGGAGAAGTTGTTTTCATGGTGAAACCTCCAAACATTTGATATCTCTGAAAAGTCCTGAATGTGCTCTTTACAGGACACCCAGGTTGTGTCATGTGACATGTATGATGTCAGAGAAGTTCACTAAAATATAATGTCCACTACAGTGGACAAAAGTCTATTCTTGGGTCCCAGGAGGATATTAAATAAACATAACTCTATATAAAATTACATCTAAACGTATTAAAGTTTCGTTTCAAAGACGAGAGGACAGTACATTTTGAAGACTCTGCCATAATCCCGTTTTCCTCGGGTTTCCTCCGCTTTAAATCTCCCCAACCGGAAACGCAAGAGCATCCTTGCATCAAACGCGGAAGTTATGCGTGCATAAAGCCCATTAGGCTATTGTGCAGAAATTAGGATAACCTGGGATTAGGATAACAAACCAAAATAACCTGACAAGCTGTATTTTAACCTAACATAATACAGCTTTTTTCAACCTTTTCAGACCCAGACACTGACAACCAGACCCTCAATTATAAAATTTTGTAGGTAATGCATTAAAAACATTAACGAGCATCAAAACATTAACAATGCACTACATTTATCATTTATTTTATTAAGAAAATCTATGTTTAATATGCACTTTACTTTCACAGACTATTTATTTGCCTGCTTGCCAACTTAGCACGATTTGATTGTATTTTGTAGTAACAATTAATCTTAAAAACAATTCAACTTCAAAAAATGCTAAACTTTGTATATTATTAAGCTGCCAGTTACTGACATTTTCCCCTGATTAGGATAGTTCTTTTGAATATATTTCCTTGTCCTCGTGAAATTTTGTCTGAAATGCTAAGCTTTTTTTGCCCATAAACTGGCTTTAGTTGTTCAAACGCTTGGTTCTGATTTTTCAGAGCAACAGTAGTTCCAGGAAGAGCAGATTATTTGAATATCATGGCATTTATGAGCTGCAAGAAGCTGGAGGTAGCCTATAATCCTCCTTGGTAATATGTGCATGTCCAATCCTGAGGGTCCATACCATCATATATGATGGCTATAGCCTTTTGCAGCATGTCCTTGTGCAAACAGAGCCCTATATTTTTAATTCATTACATTTATGGTATGGCTCCTTATACAACAGTATAGCTACATAAGGCCTGTCTTACCATCAAGCACATTTTACACTAAGCCTTTTAGCAAGGATTTTCTCTTCAGAGAATCCATTATTTTTGAGGCTTATGGACTTCAAGCTAAAATGGAAGTATCTAAAGTGTCGATTAAGGTCATGGATATTTGCAAAAAAAATGTCATGTATAGTCACTCACTGAATGTATCAAACATATGATTTTTTGTTCAGTTTAGAATTGATGTAATGAATCTAATGTTTTATTATTGCATGTTTATAAACTGTTTCATAATAATTACCATTTGCTCTGAATAATGTGCTTCAACTCGTGACGCCTCACCTGTCTGAAATTTGAATGAACAGTTTAGATATTATCATGGGCTTGATAATGCCATAATGGTACAAAAGATCACGTGTGCTTTTGCATTGCTTTGCATAGGCTGCTTTTTTATCAGATGTACAGTACATGACTTTGAGCTGAAGTCCAGTGAATTGTATTCTGTGCATGTGAGAGTTCATAGCACTTGCCCCTGAAGCGACCTTTTAAATTCTGTTTACTTGACCGCTTGAGCTGTTAAGACGTTCACCAAGCCAGTGTCAGGTCCGGTCATGTAACGAGATATGAACTTCATTCGTCACTTGGTCAGTTCAGGTCCTCTTACCTTCAACCACTGACAAATTTCAGGTTAACATGTTTGTGCGTCTTTTTTTTTAAAGTCTTAATATTCCCTGTTGGTGAGGATTTCTTGGAAGATTTCTTCTGGAATTGCATCCAAACTTTAAGAAACTAATTATAAATATTAAAAACCATATTCATAAAATAAAAATATTAAATGTATCAATTGTAATGTCATTACACTGGCTCTACCTGTAAATAAATACATTTAATTAAGTTCAGTGGGCACAAATAATTATCACAAACAAAAATATCTTATAGTTATACTTTTTACTTAGAAAAATTGCCATGGTAACTAATACTTTGTCAAAATATAATAAAAATAAATTAAAGCTCTAATTAATGCTAAATTTGATAGGTAACACTTTATAATTACTGAAATTAAATCAGTAACATTATTTCCTGCAACAGTATGGCCAAAAGTGATGTCCTAGGAAAATTGACATATTTTCAGAAATTATGAATTGTAACCGATTATGTTGTAGTGTAGTCAATGTATGCTTTTTCCTGTGGCTTTTTTGTATAGTAAAATAAAACCTGTAACTGTAGTTTAACCCCTTTTTTGGCAAATAATTTTGTCAGATACCTTAACCAAGTTTAGTGTTTTGTTCTTCCCTCATATTTAAAATATTTAAAATATAAAATATCTCAAATATAATATACACACAAATATATATATATATATATATATATATAAATATATATATATTTGAGAAAATATTTGTCCCTAGGACTTTCAGATTAAATGGGAATAGTGATCTCATACAATAAGTGTAAGGTGTTTTCTGATATCTATTTTTTTTGTGTGTGCCTAATGTCAAGTTAACATTTTTGTTGGTGTAATTTAAAACATTCAGTGTCTTTATTCCCTTGAACACAGCAAATTATGGGTTCTTCAACACATGAATGAATTCATGCTTTAGGGGGTAGTGAAAATAAGAACAAAAACTTGGGATAGGATTACGTCAATCTTCTAACATTCTGAAGCCAACACTTAAATGTGTTTGTGACTGCAGAAACTGTGACGGTGCACATGTGGGGTCAATTACATTCAATTTCCATGTAAAATCCAATGAAGTATAGATTACCCGGAAAACAGTGATATCTCCACGTTATCTTTGACTAAACAACTCTTTGTTGTGACAAGGAGAACTCCAGCATTTAGCAGCTCTTTCTTGGGAATGGTGTCAATATTTAACAGAGAAACAGTAACTTTCTTGCGCTGAGCAGTTGCCTCTCGAGGAAACGTCTGTGAATACACAGCCTTTGTACACACACAGTTTATTCTAAAAATCCCTGGAAAATATGGAGTGACTCAAAATGTTACTCAGAATTTCCATGCTTTGGTGCAAGCTAAGAAAAGAAGAAGAAAAAAAAAACATGGAGGGGACAAGAAAAGCTGTGGAAATGGAAAATGTACAGGGCAAATTGGGACTTAAACTTTCCAAATCAGGTGGCAAAACACTTTCACAGTCAAACACTTGAAAATGTTCACAACAAAAATACTTATACATGAAATATTATGAAGTGCTGAAATGTCATATAAATGAAATGTCAGATAAAAATAAAATGTACATGCAAACACTTGGATTGACGAATCGGTGATACAAATCCAGGGTGAATCTTTGCTTTAACTTAATTACCAAACAAACAATTTCCAAACAAGACACTTGGATTATCTGTATATTTTCAGTACATTAAGAACAAGAAGTCTATGTATGTGGGTTTACCGAATGTTTGAGAGGTTGCCAGGATGTGGGTGTGTGACCTTGATGACGAGTGTTATTATCAGTTCTGCACATGATTGGCTCATTCAGGGGCAGAAATAAAGGAGTGAATTTGTAAAGGAAAAAAACAAACACGTTGTTTGTTTGAGGGTGTTTTTCTTCACTTTTTTTGCACTGAAATAAAACGATTATATCTCCCAAGCATGTTATTTTCAGATGTTACCAAAAAGACAGTCACAGAACAGGAATTAAAGCTATGATTGCTTTTATTTCTCACTTTTTGGGAGACAATCCATTCACTTCATGAGCACAAAGTTGTAAGGAATTTTGTAGTGGCAAAGAGGTCACATCAGACTTATGCATGATTCCCTATACCATGTCCTCCAGGAAGACGACAAATAAAAATGACATTAGTATATTGGATCTGAAATATGTTGGCAGAATGACCTTTTATGTTGATCTGAGTTTAGTTTCCTAATGATTCAGGTCAAAATTCAAATTCAAAAATTTTGGTGTAATTTCTTAACTTAAAAAAAGAAGCAAAATCAAGCCACCACTCATAATCGTTTTCAGAGCAATGCTTTTGGGATAATACTATCCGAATGCTTTAATTGAAAGACTAAGTATGGAGAAAAAATGCAGGAAAGTATTAATCCAGGTGATTAGGACATTGAGCGCCCCATTCTTCAAGGAATAAAATTATGTATGTTTCGTTAAATTAAAATAGAAAGGAGGTCAGATTAGTATGGAACTTGAAAGGAAAATCCGATTTTTCTTACAATCTCTCCATGAATAGCACAGTGAGGAGAAAAGAAAAAGCTCCTGACCTAGTACGTCTTTTTTGGTCTGTGTCAAAAATTACGCTCCAGTATAAAATCAAATATTCTCCAAATGCGACCAATCAGCATGCAGGTTTATTAAGACACCCTCCTGAGAAAAGGTTAACACAGGCCAATGCTTGTTGACCATGCAACAAAAGCAGAACAATCCATGCTGATAAATTAACTATTGGTTCAGAATGTGCAACAAAATACTAAGCCGGTGGAATATTTCATTTTCAAAAATACACACGCTTAAAGCCTGGAGAATGGCAAGAACCTGTGTTAGCAACTTTTAAAAGTGCACCTTAAGATGTTTATATACATTACCTTTCAAAGATTTGGGGTACATCAGATTTGGCAAAGTTTTTGGAAGAAGTCTCATGCATGCAAGGTTGCATTTACTTGATCAAAAATACAGTAAAAACAGTGATATTGTGAAAAATATCACAATTTCAAATTAAAATGTTATTTATTCCTGTAATGGCACTCCAGATACTCCAGTCTTCAGTGTCACATGATCCAGTGTCACAGAAATCTTTCTAATATGTGGATTTGCTGCTTCAGAAGCACTTCTTATTATTATTATCAATGTTGAAAAAAGTTGTGCTGCTTAATATTATTGTGGAAACTACAATAGGCTACATTTTTTCAGGATTCTTTGATGACAAGAAAGTTCAAAAGAACATATTTTGTAACATTATTAATTTCTTTACTGACACTTTGATCAATTCGCTGAATAAAAGTAAAAAAAAATTAATATACAGTATAAATACACTATATATACTAACCCCACATTTTTGAACAGTAATATGTTTTTTTAAAAGGGCTATTTTAAAATGTAATTTTCCAGTAGGTATTACATTATCATGATGACACATCAGGATATACAGTATATCATATCGCAAGGTACTTGCCAATTCCCAGCAGTTCCTTGGGCAACCATGACATCAAAAGATCATCTATGACTACAGTACAAAAATATAACATGGATAATGAGCAAATAAAACATACTCAAAAAGCATTCAGTTACAAACTCCCATGTCTCAAACACAGGATGCAAAACATCTCAGACACCTATAAAGGAATAGTTCACCCAAAAATGAAAATTCTGTAATCATTTACTCACCCTCATGCTGTTCCAAAATCATATGGCTTTCTTTCTTCTGTGGAGCACAAAAAAAAGATACCTCAAATGTCAGTTAACATCCGAGGTTTAACACCAGTTGACGTTTGTGTCACCAGTTGATATGGTCTGTGTATGCGTGCTTTGATCAATGACGTGAAAGTAAAATAGCCTAAACTTTCAGAAGACTTAGAATATTCCAGTTGAGTTGAATGGATTCATTTCATACTAAAAATAAAGGTTCTTTAAATGGTTCCATGAAGAACCTTTAACACATCCATGGAAGCTTTCCATTGGACAAAAGGTTCTTAGTGAAAAAAGGTTTTTGATTCACACTAAGACCAAAATTGTTCTTTTAAGAACTGCTCGCTGGAAGGTTCTTGGGGAACCTAAAATGGTTCTTCTAAAAATAAAAAAATTGAAACCTTTATTTTTAAGAGTGTAGCTGTATGTCCTTAATAGTTTTGAGCTTGACAGGTTTGGACCCCATTGGTTTTAATATATGGACAAAAACAGCTGCAACATTCTTCTTAATATCTTCTTTTGTGTTCCACAGAAGAAAGAAAATCGAGTTTGGAACAACATGAGGTTGAACTGTTCATTTTATTCACTACCACACCTTGAGGTGTTCTGTACATCTGAGGCATTTAACTATTAGAAACCCACAGATTTCGGTGTAGGTATAGTGTGCCACACACATGCTGCTCACTCGCTCTTTAAAAAGTTACAGGCCATAAACTTGTCAAGTGCTCAATGAAGGACACTTAACATTGTTATGATATTTTTTCGTATTATCAGGATAGTTCTCCCAAAAATGATAATTATGTCATTGTTTACTCACCCTCATGATATCCTAAACCTGTAAGACTTTCTTTCTTCTGCGGAACGGGGAAGATATTTTGAAAAATGTCTATGTTGATATACAATGAAAGTCAATGGAGTGCAGTGTTGTTTTGGTCCCCATTGACTTTCATTAAACAGAGTATCTTCTTTTGTGTTCCACAGAAGAAAGAACGTCAAACAACATGGTTTAGGTTGGAACGACATGTGGCTGAGTAATTAATTACATTTTTGGCTGAACTATCACTTTAAAGTAGTCCTTGGGCACGAGGAGAGGGATCCCAGGCAAATGATCCTAAACCGGACATTAGCACCCCATTATCACTGGGTCTATGATCCATAGAACCACAGCACTTATGGTCATTGTCGTTCACACGGTTCTATACATTATAGGTGTAGTCTGTCAGGTAATCCTTCAGCCGGTTAGGCAAAGGAAGTTCTTGTACTCGCCGTGTGGTTTTATTGATGGCAATACGACACAGATGCTGCAGAGACGGTGTGGCCGTGTACACCGGAGTCGTGAGCAGCAGCTGCACGGTGCCGTTGAATGGGGCGAGAGGGGTAGTCCTGTCCTTACAAGACGTCCGGGACAGCTGCACGTAGTGCTCCACGAGATGGACGACACTGTCGAACTGCTTGAGTTTGGGCTTGACCAGCACCACGGAGTCCAGCTTGAACTTGCCGTCCTTGTATTCAATACGCAGGTTGGTTGGTCCCGCAGATGTCATGGCGGAGATGGTGAAAAGGTAGTCCCTCTGAGAGCTGTCCCGGACCAGAAACGTGCCCTCCGACGTGTCCTGCAGGATCTCCTTGGCTTCGTTGGCTGTCAGGCTGCCCCAATACCAGCCTGCTTCCAAGAAAAGAAGACACACAGATGGTCACACGTATCCTGTTCCACAGTATTTGTTTCAGTCGTTTGCTTGTGTAATATGAGACACATAATGTTTCCCTCAAAGGACATGCTCACAAAGCCATGACTAATTTGCATCTGATAATGTAGCAAAAACCAAGCAGTACGAAATGGGCTGTTAAATTAACGTTAATCAAAACATTATGGCAACTCTGTGGCACAGCAAGACTAAACAACACAGCAAATATGTCAACAAAAATGACGTATCTTTCCTGAAATACTGAACTAGACCATCTGACTATTTCATCTTGGGGGTATTTGACATTTTTTACAGGCAGATGCTTGACATATGTTCCCAAAAAAGCTACTCGAATCGTTTTTCTCAGCAGCAAACAAACATAAAATTGGATCTCGTTGCAGCATCTTAATTACTGTATCTTGCTTTTCTTTTATATACAGTGCAGTGCTGGACTAAATTTGTTTGTGCACTTGAAACCAGAAAGGGACACAAGCAATTGAGGGCAAATGTTCTAGCCAGACCAGGAAACATAACAAAAGCTTTATAGACATGATAATGTCACTCTTTTGTTGCACAAAAGCAAACAGAAAATGTAAACAGTAAGGCTTTTGTCAGGAAATTCACGTAGTTCCTACTTGCATTGCATTCACTTACATACTTCATATCAGGGTCAGAAAGGGGGGTTTGTGGGAAAAATGCCACAGAAAATGACAAAAATGCCCTCTGAATTCAGTATGTGGGGGCAAAAAAACACAAACGCAAAAACCTTTGTATTTGTAACATCTGATAGTTCTTAATACTGTCTTGAATTTATTTTATCACACATATTCCCAATCTCCTTATATGAATTAATGCATTCAGTAAATTCAAGTGCTGACATAAAAAGGCTAAAAAAATATATACTATATATAAAAATCCAAAGGTGATGAAAATTGCCCCGTAAAGGAAAAATGCATTACTCGATTTAGGCTTACTTTTTTGTTGACATTCACCTCTCTTATATTTCTCTCATATATAACAAAACCAAAAAACACACTAGATGCAAATTAATCACATAAATGAATAAACAAACAGCAGTCCTGAAACAACATTTTCAATATGACATTCAAAAAATGAAATCATAGCTGCTTTGAAAACATCAACAAACTCTAAAAAACGACCTTTGAAATTTTATATAGAGGATTAATTATCACTTTAAATATTCGCTATTATCACTTTTAACATCACATTTGACGCATTTAAAATAAATCACTGCCTGTGGCTGTGTTTGTACAACATTAATCCAGTCAGTGGTACAGCACAGGAACAAATGAATAGAATATGGAAACGAGCAGTAAACGTTTACCAGTGTTTTTAAGGTCTCTCATGGCAGTGGCAATGCGACTCTGTTCGGACTCCGTGACTTGGGTTTCGGTTTGCGATCTTCTTTCATTCTCGATGCTTTCCGTAGAGTCGGATGAGTGACAGGTCATTGGAGAACCGCGTTCTGCATCCAGTCAATGTCTATAATTATCCCTCAAAGACGACTGACTCTTACAATCAACCAAAACATGTGGGAAGTCTTCCAAAGCACCCGTGGATGTTGTTTGGCTGCGGGGATCTGAAAATACAAACATGTTTTAGACTACAGAATGCGTTACATTAAGAAATTAGAATAGGGAGTGTTGTAACATGTTTTGTTTCAAGGTCTGTAACGATGACAATATTTTTTTCTTTCAAACGTTGATAATATTCCCATATAGGCTAAAACTGGAAATTAAAGTTGTTCATCTCTGAACTGTTTAAATGAATGTCAAGTATAGCCTACAAAGAGTGCTATTGTTACAATCTTCCACCTGTTTGTAACACTATACGTGGTCGTTTTAAATTTTTGTGGTAATCAAATCTACTTGTTAAAAATAATTATGCCATCATGATCCCACATCACCCTCATTTCCTTTTAAACATTTAATGGGGTTTGAACTGCATTTTTTATATCATTTTATAATGTTTCCTGGGGTGCACTTATAATGTTAGTACATCAAAAATTGCCATCATTTAGAAATAAAAGGCCATTTTCGACTCAGATTTTAAGGGGGCATGTCTGATGTGAGAGTTAAATGTAAACGCACACTGATATATGATTGGCTAATATCTTTGCATATGAAATAAGTAGGCTATTACATGTGGAACTCTCTTGAAACTATAGGCTATTACTAAGTTTTTACTATTACAGCTGTCGAGCTAATCGTGATAACTCCCATGGCATGAAAGGTTGCAGTGATGAGAATTGCAGCCAATGACAGACATGTCTGTTGAGCGCATGAATGCAGTGATCTCGTCATTACATCACCCCTTACATCACGGCTCGTAGCCTACACACCGGGAAGAATATCGGCGCGCGTTATTCGCCACCATTTTTCAACGCGTTTTTTGTGTTCACACCCAAGCGATTTTCGCTGACAATGAGCCTAGTGAACATGCCAATTCATTCCCTGACATTAGATGGCGCCCATTTGCTCTGCAATACCACTCCATAACAGTTCTCTTTTATCAAGATTTTTGTAGTCGCTGTCGCGTTTGTCATAGTTCTTTATGTTCCGACACCAACGAGACCAGCAGCTCTACATTCATTTTGCCTTGCATATTCCTCGTCTTATTTCTTCTTCCCGGCAGTGTAGACCTGTCGATGGTGTAGTAGAGTCACGCTACTTGGCGTAGCCTATATCTTCTTCGCAGTTATGTATCTGTGCAAGACCGTTTTGTGTTTGAGCGCCCCAAAGTTGTGTTTTACTGCAACTTCAGAAGCTCCAGACATGTGAGCAAAAGCGCCAATCTCATTGGTCAGATGGTTCTTGACACGGTGCTCAAACTAAAAAAAACAGGCGGTTTAAAAAAAATGATGCTTGGCGTTTTTCGCGTTGGTGTGCACACTCACATTGGCGTCCTTTGTTTAGTCACGAGGCGTTAAACGTCGGCGAATATCGCGCGCGAAATTCGTCCCGGTGTGAACAGGCCTTCACACTATTATGTCATAATGTGACAGAATCTGAAACTAGTCATTTTTGGAGCTTGGTTTCAATAAAAGCTGTTTTTGGACTGACGAGGAAGTTTTGAGTTCTGAAACTTACAGGATGTTTTTATACATCACATGTAAAAAAAAATCAAGGAAAATTAGATTTCTCAATTCATGACCCCTTTAATTCAACCTGGTCCACTTATAGGAAGCGTTCAATAGAAATTCACTAAACACAGACAGTTAGCTGCGAAGTTCAGCTAAACACAGACAGTGCGTGTGTGTGTTAGTCACTCACTCACAACAATTATTGTAAGTGTAGCAACACTTCTATTTTGTTCAATATTTGTGTCCAGCAGAATGGAAAATGTTTCAACCCTTCCTGTCTATTTAGACATTTTGTATTTATAGTTTTAAACACGTATAGCCTATGAAAAGCTTGTGTGAATGTTGTAGGCTATAGTTCTGCCTTCAACATACGCTACATTATCATGATCGCAAAAGAAGTTATAACATATATGAAATTACTCCTTTTTTTCTTACCTCCAAATTGTTTTTGTCCAGTAAATCCTTTAAATTACAGCCTTACAGCTTCTACTGTCACCTCACTCAGGAGGGTGGTGCTCTCGTTTGATAGCGATTCCACCCATGTAGCTCATTTCTAATTGGTTATTTGAAATACACTCATAAGGTGATAAATGAAAGTGGCCATTACGTGTTAATCTCCATTAAATAATACCATACCCATAACTACTATTATTTGTTCTGTTGTTGTTTTTTAATTGGATAAAATAACGAAATGACAATCGTCATGAGCTTCATAAACGTTAAGTATTCCGTCCTTATTTCGAGTGAATGGTTCATTGCGCACGTGCATGAGGAATAAAAACAAAGTCTGCCTTTAAGAGACGGCAAATACGCAGAACTGCCTTTCCTAGGAAACTGCATTGACAGCTCCTGGTAAATGATAGTGTGACAAATAAGATAAACGAAAGTATTTTCTACAAAACGTGTAAATTAAAATACGTCTACATGCGCGAATCCTTTGATGTAGCTGCTATCTGAGACACAATAAAGCACAAGAGAAATAAAGCAGAACATATTTTGAATATAAACTTGAGCCCGAAAGGCGGCAGTCGGAGAAAGCGCACATCACTTACCTTTTTTTCTAAGTGAAAGCAATAAGCAATTAAGTCCAGGGCGTTTCGCGTTACAGACGTTCAATGGCACCATTATTTAGACGCATCATTTATTAATGGGAAACACTGATCGGTTCACTGTCAGACGACCAGCTCGCCCTGATGCTCAGCAGGTCGGGACGCGTTTTTCCTTGTATTCGCATTGATTCTTTCGGCAGCGACACTCCACTCAGTCTAAACGCACCGCACGTTCAAACGCGTTAAAGCGCGCGCCAAGCGAGCAGGACACATATAATTACTCTCTCCAGCAGTTTAGCGATATTCCAACGAATCTTTTTTTCTGCTTTGTATGTGTGTGTGTGTGCTCGTCGTTAACGACTTAATCCTCATTTAAAATGACTGGTATACAAAAGACTAATTTCCAGGAACTTTCCAGGAATCGTATCACGTGGTCAGAAACGCGAGCGCTCTCTTAAGGTCGTGCCAAATAGCTATATTGTTGTTTTTGTTTATGTTTGTTTTGTTAAGATCTGTCAGACACAGATATTTATCACAATCCATGCTACATGTCATTTTAATTTGATTTAATTTTATTATGATTATATGCCTTTTGATGTAAAGAATATTTTTCAATATTACCATAATAAGGTATTTGTAATTTCTTTAGGCTATATAAAAGAAATGAAATACAAGAGACAGGCAATTAAATAGGCTACTGCCATACGTACAATGTTGCACACCCCAAATATAGCATATTTTTTATTGTTAATTCTTTCTTTCTATATGTTTATTTATTTTTTTAAACATCTGTGATGGGCTTTTTTTTTAATAGGATTCACTAAAAAGGAATTTACAGTTGTTGCTTTTCAAGATCCGTGAGCCAGTCATAGCGTGACAAGTGCCACCTTAAACCAGGAATTTATTGCCTATGACAAAACAAAATTATAAGAAGCTGTATTTAACCTGTATGTGAAAACCAAAAATCACATCCACGATAGATAGATAGATAGATAGATAGATAGATAGATAGATAGATAGATAGATAGATAGATAGATAGATAGATAGATAGATAGATAGATAGATAGATAGATAGATAGAGAGTGCAGTTTAAAATTCATTAGGCCTGTGCTAAGAATGAATGTCTAAAAATAAAATTGGCAGAACCTTCCCACATGTGTAACAGGCATTACAATCCCTAAAGACAACAGTGGATTATAGCTGTCAGGGGTGAGTCAGGTGACTACTGATGCCTCAGACGACCTTGCTCGGGCTACAGGCTGCTTCTTTCATGCATGGAGACAAATTGTTTGCTTGTTAATTTTAGGGACAAGGTCATGTTAAACCAATTATTTGTGCTTTTAAAATGAATGAAATTACGGCTGAACATCCTCTTCTTTAGATCAAATTACCTGGGAGAACCTGGGAGGAAGATCTTGACAGACCAATCTCAGATGGGAATGTGTTCTTGCTTATTCAGTTTGAAATGATTTAAAGTAGTGCACAAGGCTCATGTCAAAAGTTAAATTAGCTCAAATCTACCCTGGAATTGGCCCCATAATAGATGTCAATGTTCACAGGATCTGGACATGTTTTTAAGGCTCGTTCAGCAGTTCTGCAGCACAGACCCAGATCCTGAATTGCTCCTGAAAAGTCATGGTTATTAGCAAATTCCTTGCTTTTTCTTCCTTGTTACACAGGTCAGTAAAGTGAAGGAGGCTGCTCCACCCACTTACATCCATGGATGTACTTTCTATCTATCTGTCTATCTATCTATATTATAATCTAATATAATGTCTTGCAGCATGTTAAAATTAGGAAAAATACTCTTTAATGTGCTCTGAATATATTTTTTAAGATCTGGTCCTGTTGTTGATTATTTTGATTGTTCTAAATAATGCCCTAAATGGAAGTCAAATCTGTGTATTGTATTGCATTGCATTTATTAATTAATTCAGTAAGTTAGTCTCTACATGTAACATACTGTAAGTGATTGTGTGTACGCATGCGTATACATAGGCCTTTTTTTGAAAATCACAGGCCAGCATGGATGTAATCCTGGGAAATAGTTGGTGAGGGTTGAGAGATTGTGTTGAATGTGATTTGTATCAAAAAAAAAAAAAAATTGACAACGAAATGAATGAAATTGCTATGAAATATTATAATTAAATAATCCTAAAATTCTGTACTGTAATTGTTCACTTTTATCTTTTTGGTTATACATCTCAGACTCTGGGGTTAAAGAAGTTGATCATTCTGGCTGTCTTATAGCCTCCTCTTCTGGTCACCAAAGACCTTCACAGTGTAAAGGAGCAATGGGGAGAAGGATGTAAAGTTTACTTTATTTCCCCCCCATAGCCTATTGCAAAAAACAACAAACAAACAAACTTGTGACGTGCAAAGAATTGTTACCGCTATTTTTTTAAATAGCCTATAAATAAATCAACCATTTGAGCTATGCTTCATTTGTTAAATTGTGTGACCACATTTTATGTAAGATCTTTCTGGGTTTTTTTTTTACTATGAAGATATGAAAAGATAAAGCATATTATAATAAATACCAAATTAGTTACTTTTGGCCTACCTGAAAATGGAATATATGGAATGGATTTTTCACGAAAAACCATAAAAACCATAAACGATACAGACGATACGCCTCCAGGCCGGCAGGGGGCGGTCGCTCAACAGCAGACGTCCTGACTCCTGTTTAACGTCACGCACGCGGCAAAAACAAAAATGACGTACGCGCGGCTTCTCACCAAAGTGTAGGTTTTATCAAAAGTTTTGCCCATTTTAGTGACACAAATGCTATAATTTTCAGAAATACACAATTAAGAGGATATTTTTATTTAGCAGCCGTTGATTATTCGCGTACTGAAGGTGAGCATTTTTATGTTTATTATCGTTTCGCTGGAGCTTCAGTGCTGTAAAGCTGTTAACGTTAACTTACTAATGTTTAAACGGTTTAAATTAAATAGAAATTACAGTTACAGTTTAACAGTGAATCTGAGTGGTTATACTACACTTCAAATGTAATGTTAATATTAATAATTCAGATCTATTTTTGTGCATGTAACTTCGTTATTATACAGCTAGCAAATCTCCTGTTTACACGTTACTGTGTTTGAGTAAAAAAGACATTAACGTTAACTTACTTGTATGTAAACTAACTTATAGTTTTTTTGTCTGTGACTGTACAGTACCATAGTAAAACAAAGCTTTGCTAATCAAAGACAACATGCCATGTTCTTTTACTTAAAAAAAAATATATATATAATCACTTTAAAGCATTTATTAATATTTTTGGTGGATGGCAGTTATTTGTTATTATGAATGATAAAAATGAACTATAATGCCTGTTAAAACGATGATTTACAGGGTATTTTGGAAGAACATGGCCACGGATTCCGCAGAGACGAGATATGCCCACCTGCTGCAACCCCTGCGGGACCTCACCAAGAACTGGGACATTGACCTGGCCAGCCAGCTCGGAGAGTATCTTGAGGAGGTGAGAAAACACACTGAGATCAAGCACCATCTCAATGATTCAAATGTGCCTTTTTTCTATCCCAGAGTCTCATATTGTTGCTGTTGTTGACAGCTGGACCAGATGACCATTTCATTTGATGGTGGGAAAACTATGATGAACTTTGCAGAGGCTGCACTTTTAATTCAAGGATCAACGTGCATCTATGGCAGAAAGGTAAATTCTGCTTTATGTGTGCAATACAGTAATTCATTTCACTAAAATATAAGTTTAGTGATTTTCAATCTGATAAGTAATTTAAACAAGACATCTAGCTCTCATATAGCTTAATATTGTAAGGACATTTTTAAGGTATTATTACTTATTTATTTACTTAGTTACTTTATTTAATTATTTAATTTACAGATTACACACTATTTGGAAAACTTGGCAGTTTTGTATGTTGATTCAGAGTTGGAATTGGCTTTAATGTTATTTGATGCATTAACCAACGTTAACTAATAAAACCGTACTGTAAAATGTATATAGATTAAAGAGGGCACTATTTTTCTTCACAATATTGTTCTGAATATTTAGGTGGAGCTCCTTCACACTCTGGTGTTTCAAACATTGGACTACATCTCTAACAAAAACAAGAAGTAGGTGTTATTGCTGCTTTTGACCTCAAATTTCTGTTTATTCTGTTGAATTGGTTTGTGACATGCTATTTGTGTTTATCTCAACAGACGTGATAAACAAGGTTCTTCATCAGATGGTAACCAAGAAAAAGCCCATTCAGGCAATGAAGGTGACGATTGTGAGGTGTGTAAATGAGCATTAATGAGCATTAACACTAATAGTTACCCTAAACACAACTTAACGTTTTATAAATCTGTGAGTAAAAATGTTTGTTTTTATGCAGTTTGATGAGATTGAACAGGATGAGAATGTCAACTCTCAGAATATAACAATGAAAGATCCAACAGAGGTGAGTTGGGTTTCACCCCGTCAAAGTTTTTGTTTCTACAATTTTATGGGTAAACTGAACATCCACATTATTCTTATTTTGTGTCTCTTGACTGGGTAAGATTTAAATATGAGATATGCTTATGATATTAAGTAATATTACTTGCTTTGTAAATGTTCTGCAGATTAAGTTGTTGTTTTGCTTAACTTGCATAGCAATTGGTGTGCTTTGGTGTCTTGGTTTTTCTGGGTCTAATTATTCCTTATTCTTCTTTAGCCCGTGAAGATTATCCGTCTCCCTCCTGAGTCTCTCATTCCTGCCGAATCACATGAGAAACAGAAATACCCCCTTCTCAGGTAAAGACACTCTGACCCACACAGACAAATAAAAAGTTTGCACACTTTTAATCTGTTCCATCTATAATATGATTGGTCGTACAGCCCAGCAGTACCAATTCAGTCCTCTTGCTCTTCAGGAAAATATTGTCTGGCTCAGTTGCAGGAACTGATGGTCGTACTTAAAATAACTCAAATGTTTGTCAATCGTTATCCTCTAGTCTTAAAGGGGAGCTTCTTGGCAGCTGTAAGGATTTTCGGATTAATAATTTCACCATGGATGAAGCGGGATTGATGCGTCTGGGCTCTTCACACGCTCACTTCCTCAAGGAGGTTGCAGAAATCCAGCACAATTTCTCTGTACATGCACCTGTGCCCTTACAGACAGGTGAGGACACAGACTTGTGTGTGGCAATCTGTACCAATGTTTTGCTTTGGGTCATTTTTTATTTTACAAAAAAAATACCTCTAATTGTCACAAAAATGCTAAGTAGCACAACTGTTGTCATCATTGATAATAATAAGAACTGTTTCTTGAACTGCAAATCTACATATTAGAATGATTTCTGAAGCATAATGTGGCACTGAAGACTAGAGTAATGATGATGAAAATTCAGCTTTGGCATCACAGGAATAAATTACATTTTAAAATATATTAAAGTAGAAAACAGTTATTTTAATTATAGCAATATTTCACTATATTACTGGTTTTACTGTATTTTATATAAACTAAATCAGCCTTGGTGGATAAGCATAAGAGACTCCTTTCAAAAATCATTTAAACATCTTACTGAACTGACCCCAAACTTATCTAATTAATATCATCTGGTGTTTAGAAGGGGTTGCTGAGGTTGATGGTGGTTACGATGAAGAAGATGGTGGTGCTGAGGTTCTTCCTCCACTGGAAGATCATGGGATGGAGGTGGAGTCTGAAGAGTGGGTAGAAAGGCATCAGGTACCCGAACACTTTGTGATTGAATGTTGACATTAGTTATGTTTAGCATTCAAGAAAAGCTCTGTTCAGTGTAAAGTATTTTCCCCTTTTATTTGTTCTAGGGCCCGAGTGAGGGGAGGATGCTGAGACCGAGACCTGAAGTACAGCCAATTTCAGTGGAACCTAAGCAACCCAAGGTATAGAGTGGTGGACTTAAAATGCTCTCTTTTCATCACACATACACTTAATCAAATAACCATGTTCACATGTAGTTCCTGATAAATTATCCTTTCATGATGTTGCATAATCATAGCCTCACAAAACAATTGCATGTGCATATTCTAGGAAAGTGTGGACCCTTGGAAATGGCACGACTCATATGCTGTGTTTGGGGAGGACAAACCTCTCAAAATAGGTGTGTGCTCAATCTGATGTCCCCCAGGATAGGTGTATTGACCTAAAAATCCTAAAAAAAAACCGCTCAATTATTATTTTTCAATATGACTTTTTGCTGTTTGGAGTTTTACTTTCTTCTCTGCTCTAGGCAAGTGTTATAAAGTGCCAGCAGGTCTTGAAGAGTCTGGAAAAAGAAAGAGGAAGGGTCCTTCAAAACTGCAGGACTTTGGCAGCTGGTACTCTAAAGCTTGTAAGTTATTTTTATCAGGCTGGTGAAAAGGAATTGACTACATATTTGTCTTGTGAATCTAAGAGAAGTTGTTATTTTCTTTTACAGTTGAGACTGCGGATCGCAAGCTTAAGAATGGACCCACTTATCCTGGTAACAATCTGAAGCGTTGTGCTATATAAATATATTTTTATATATTGTTGTAATATATATATATATATATTTTATTGCAGACCTTAATTACATCTTTGTGAGTAAAATGGGTCAGCGTCTGAAAGTACAGAAGCAGATTCTCAGGAAAAGGGTTAGTGCAATTTTGTGTTTGTGTGTGCGTGAAGTGGATGTCAGTAAAAAACATTTGTATAGAAAACAGTTAATAGTAATATTGTGAAATAGTATTACAATTAACTGTTTTCTATACTAACATATTTTTAAGTGTAACTAATTCCTGTCTATTTGTTTGTACTGTACAAATATACAGTATATATTATTTTATATATCAAATAAATTAAGCCTTGAGACTTCTTTCAAAATCATTTACAAAATCTTACCAATCCCCCCAACCTTTTGAATAGTAGTGTATTGTGATGTGTCGTGTAACCCAAGGTATTTTTCATTTAGGGTGTTTTTGTCTCCGATGAGGAGTTAAAGAAGACTTACCTGGAACCAGAGAATCTTGAGGACCAGGTCGAGGTGGTCCGGCATCCAGATGTAGAGGGTGAGATGCACATACTAACATGCATGCGTTTAAAATCATCCAAGCCTAGATTTTTTTATTCCCCTTCACTGTCAAGTAATTGAAATAGATCATAAAACTATTGTTTAAAATGTACCAAACATAAACATTTTGTGGTATTCCTTAAATCTTATTCAGGTGAGGACTTTTCAGATCAGGAACATGACGACTTTGTTGATGATCTTGAACCTGCGGATCACCTCGGAGAACAGGAGCAAATTTTCCAAGACTTGCATATGAGCCGGATGAGTTATGAAGATCTGGTCAAGAAGAGTGTGGTATAAGAGCTTACAACCGATTTCCATCAGAATAATGATACATTAATTGGACAGTGGTAGTATATTCATTCTGATTTCTCTGTATGTAGGATCTGTTTCTGGTGAACTCTCAGAAGTATGCACAGGAGACGGCGTTGTCTCGAAGAGTCAAAGAGTGGGAGGATGGAATCAACCCTCATCTTGCTGCCCAGGTAATGCGACATGATGTGACCGATTCTAATGTTTCCAAAAATGTACAGCATAAAGAATAATAAATATAGAGAACAACCGGTTGCAATTTTTGTGTACAGGAGACCCGTCTTGCTTTTGACATCCATGAGTATGGAGACAGAATTGTCCAGGCTCTCTCTAGCGTGGGGATGAAGAAATCATTTGCCTTCGTTGTCGAAGGCAAGGAGAACACAGAAGCCTGCAGATACATGCTGGCTGCGCTACAGCTGGTGGGTAAAGCTGGTACACAGAGCAATGACTGCTGGTACTAACCAGTAAGGCCACGATTTAACTAAAACAAGTGAATGAATTAGTAAATCGTGGCCACTATTTACTAATAATACAGCACCAATTCTTAATTCGTGCCCACTGTATATATATTTTTGTCTGCATGTAATGTGCAGGGCTCTGTACATTTAAGATAAAATGTGATCTTTTAAAACAAAAATGTCAGTTTATGACCTGACGCTACTTTTCTATTACAGGCCAATGATTACACTGTGGAGATTGACAAGAAGGAGGGACTTGAAGACAGCGTAGATACAATGGAACTCACATTACTGACTACACAGAGAGCTCATGAACGTCTCAAAACCTACAACGCACCTTCTGCTACAGATATTCCCTGACCTTTTACTTTTGTTTATTGCTTATCATCTCTTCCCTTTGGCCCCAAACAGAAGCTCTTTATCACTGACAACATCAGAGAGATAAAAATCACTCAAAGACTTTCTATGCTTTTCTATTCTAGGCATTTTGCTCTCGTAATGCAAACATGTATACTGATATTCAGCACTGCTCTTGCATTTGAATTTGGTCTTTAAACACGCATGAAGGAATCGGAGTCACAAGATGTGATTCAATTATATGTAAAATTATGATAAAAGTCTGTACAATTGTCTGTTTCTATGCATTTTCTGGACACTTCATCTCCAAGTAAACGGTCTTTACAGTTTCCAAGCCATATAATTATAGAAGAATCACACATCAAAATAAAAACTAGTGCTGCAAAAAAGTCATTTTTGAGTTTGATGCAAGTTAAAATCAGATGCCGGCACAAACATTTAGTAGCAGTGAGAAGTATGACATCTGTTTCTGGATTTTTGTGAGTTTGTGTTATAGTGTGGATATATAACATTCCTCGGTTTGTGCTATTATATGTAGTTTTAATTGACTGCACAACCTATGTTTAAAGAAATAACACTTCTATCAATTTATACTTTTATAGTATTTATGAATGTTTTGAATTAGCTTTTATTTTAATATGTTCAGTTTTCATTTAAGAATTTAAACTTATTCCAGTTAGTTGCAAACATTTCAGATTTTTAAAGTTTCCATCTATTATATTTTTTGTTTTATTTCAATTAAAAAAAACTATTTTTAATAGTTTTATTTACTTGCAGTTAATTATGCAAATAAGGAACTAGGATGCGGTTGATCATTCTTGTAAAATAGAGCTTTATTGTGCAAATGCATATTTCTCCTCAGCTTAATCTGGAAATAATTTAACATATTTTTTCATGTGATTGCGTATACTCTCAGCAATCTGGGCATCATTTTTCATTCTATTGTAGTAGTCCAGGAAGAGTCCATCTGGATTTACCAGGTAGATGATGATGGTGTGGTCCACAATGTAATCCCCATCCTCATCTTTAGGACCAGCGCTGGCATAGACCCTATAATCCCGTCCTGCATGCTTCACTTCCTCCACAGTGCCTGTCAATCCAACCAGCCGTGGATGGAAATCTTTCACGTACTTGGCCATAGCAGCCACGTCATCTCTCTCAGGGTCAACAGTGATAAAAAGTGGCTGGACAGGGGGCAGGCTAGGGTCTTTATCCAGAATACGCACCACATTGGTCATTTTATCCAGCTCGTCAGGGCAGATATCTGGGCAGTGGGTGAAGCCAAAGTACAAGAGAACCCAACGGCCCAGGAAGTCGCGTTTGCTTCTGCGCTGTCCTGTGTGATCCAAAAGATGGTAGTCTCCCTGTCCGACAGCCACTTTCCTCAACTGCTCCAGTCTCTGCATCTGGATCCTCTGTTCTTTCTCCCGGTACACATACCACCAGGTACCAATAATACCACCTCCGAAAAGCAGCGTCACAACCAAACGTGTACGCAGCTTGATCGACCCGGAGCTTGGAGTTTTAGAGGAGTCTTGAGAGTAAAAAGCTCTTTGTTCTCCAAATAAAGGTGGTGGAGGAAAACATTGAGCTGATGTTCTAAAGAGGGACTGGGTCTTTTTGAGAGCTCTACATGACGGGGACATGGCTTTCGACATATGATGTGAAAGTTTAGTTATTTCTCTCGTTGACCGCAGGATGCTCCATGACATCACATGCCATTTGAGTCCTCTGAGTCTCAACATCCTTAGAACAACTGATGGAGACAAAGAAAAAAGAGAGTCGTGAGTACAAATGTGCTTGATAAACTACAATTTTAATCAAGGTTCTAAATCCTGGAGATCTGCCTTCCTACAGACCGACATACTTTCATTTTCAAGTGAAAAGACCTGGATTATCTGGTACATCAGGTGTTTATTTAGGGTTTGAACTAAACTCTGCAGGCAAATCTCCAGAAACAGGACTATAATAACACCCTACTAGCATGTATTAAAATGTATACAAGAGTGTCCCAAACCCCATCGCAATCGCTTTATTCACCGTAGACACTGGAACAATGCTTAGTTATCTATCTGTGTAAGAACCAATAAATAAACAATTAAAAAAAACAATATTTTATATATATATTCGTCTTATTTTTTTATAATACTGTTAATTGCATTTTATCTTGTTTTGTTATATTAAATAGACGGTATAAAAATAAACAAATAAAAACATCGAAGGATTTTAAACGCTCACTGAAATAAACGTATTCCATGTCAATGACAATATTAGCAAGCTAGCTCTGTGAGAAAAAAAAAAAAGACTTTAAACCACTATCTTTGGTCGGTGGAAATACAGGACTCGTGTTATATAAGGAAAATCACGGATAAAATACGTTTAAATGTTACTAACCCTACAGTTACAGCCGTCTGTCCTCACCACAAGATACAAGCTTGAGCTCCGCATGTGACATGTACATTATACAACATTCATGCTGCGTGACACTTGTGTTTCGAGGTCGCAGATTCATTTAAGGCATAAAACGTTGATCGCTTAATTTGATGTGATTTGAAAATTATTGCTTTAAATAAAATATAAATATTTTACATATTATATTATTTAGCAATATTTGTTACACACACACACACACACACACACACACACAGATAGATTCGTCATTAAAACTGTTGCCGAAAAGCCACTAGATGGCAGGTTGATAAAGTTGGATTTTTAATTTTATTTTTTACAGTATATGAGATGAATAGTTGAGTGGAAATGTGTAAAATTTGAAAGGTTTATTTATTATTATGGTTTAGAAATTGTAGAGCATATACACTGCTTTACATCCAACACACAAGAAAAACAAACACAAATGGACTACATATTTTTTCTAGAGAATCTAAAAGTCGTTATATTCTTTTACAGTTGAAACTCCGGATCGCAAGCGTAAGAGAATGGACCTACTTATCCTGGTAATAATCTGAGACCTTTCTTTAGTTGTTGTAATTTATAGAATGCTGGTTTTTTTTTTCCATTTCAGACCTTAATCACATTGTTGTCAGAAAGTACAGAAGCAGATTCTCTAGAAAATGTAATTTTGCGTTTTTTGTTCGTGTGTGAAGTTGAAGTGTGAATTAATAATTTTATTCAGCAAGGAAGCATTAAACTGATGAAAAAATGTATTACGGTAAAAAATATTAAGCAGCACATCTGTTTTCAACATTGATGATAGTAAAAAAAAAAAGTAAAATTTAATAAGAAAAATTTCTTAATCACGCGACACTGAAGACTGGAGTAAAGATGCTGAAAATTCAGCATTTCCATCACAGGAAAACTCAGAAAACCAGGGAAGAGCAAAAGCAGGAGACAAAATAATGATGATAAAAACAACAGAATTTATTCAATAATCTTAGTTGCATGTGTTTTAATGCTCAGACTTCATCTGACCAGTGCAAATCCAACAAGTGTTATTATTCCAATGCACAAGCAATGGAAAATTACTGCTTCAAAACATCATTCTGAGACGTTAAAAAACACTGAAATGGAGACATTCTCACGAAGACAAACATCTAAAAAAAAACATTTAACATGTAAATCAAAATAATAATAATATAAATAAATTAAATGATAAACTACACAAATGAGTAATGATTATAAAATTCAATCATATAAAAACAAAAGAAAATAGAACAACAGATATGTATGGTTGCTCTCTTAAAGTAACACACACACACACACACCGGTTGCAACTGAGAATCCTTAGATTCTTCATCGGGTTTGCTCCTGCGCTGTCCTGTGTGATCCAACAAATGGTAGTCTCCCTGTCCTACAGCCTTTTTTCCCCCTCAACAGCTCCAGTCTATGCATCTTTCTAGATCCTCTGTTCTTTCTCCCTGTACACATACCACCAGGTACCAATAAAAGCAGCGTCACAACCAAACGTGTACGCAGCTTCTTGAGTCTTCTTCAGGAGGCTTGATAGTCAAAAGCTCTTTGTTCTCCAAATAAAGGTGGTAGACGGTATTGTGGAGGAGGAAAACATTGAGCTGATGTTCTAAAGAGGGACTGGGTCTTTTTGAGAGCTCTGCATGTTGGGAACCATGGCCTTCGGCATATGATGTGAGAGTTTAGTTATTTCTCTCGTTGTTGACATCACATGCCATTTGAGTCCTCTGAGTCTCAACATCCTCAGAACAACTGATGGAGACAGGAAAAAAAAAAGAGTGGAGTGAGTACAAATGTGCTTGATGAACTACGATTTTAATCAAGGTTCTAAATCCTGGAGATCTGCCTTCCTACAGACACGCTTTCATTTTCAAGTGAAAAGACCATGATTATCTGGAACAATGCATAGTTATCCATCTATACAAGAACCAATAAATAAAGAAAAAGAAATACATAATTATACCTATCTCCTGATGGTCCTTCTTCACATCCTTCAAGTGCTGCAGGTTGTGATGTGGAGGCGCAGCGGATGGACCTGCGCAGCCCCATACGCAGCAGAGTGCGGTGCACTGTGTATTGCGACACATTCTTCACATTACCATCATTATAAGTTTGTGTGACTTGTGCCACAGTATTCTTTCTGTTGTCTCGGACCAGATGGGTTAGCCTTAGTTGCCCTCGTGCATCGATGAGCCTTGGGCGCCCAACACCCTGTCGCCGGTTAGTGGTTTGTCCCTCCTCGGACCATTGTTGGTAAATTTTCACAACTGCTGATCGGGAGCAGTCTACAAGCTTTGCCGTTTCAGTAATACTCGTACCTAGTCGCCTTGCCATAACAATTTGGCCCTTTTCAAAGTCGCTCAGATCTTTATTCTTGCCCATTTCTCCTGCACCCAACACGTTTATTATATTATTATAGCTGCGATTTTTTTTAAACCACTATCTTGGTCGGTTCAAATGGACTTGTGTCATATAAGCAAAACATCACAGTTAAAATACGTTTAAATGTTACTAACCCTGTGTTGACATTCCTCACAACCATAGACGCTCACAACAAGATCCAAACGTGAGCTCTTCTTCTTTTTGTTTTTCGGCAGTTCAGTTGGCATCCAAAATGTTGCAATACTGCCATCTGCTGTCTTTTGTTTAACTTAGAACTTGTTAATCAGATTAGTCCTTCCAAGGCATATCTATGCTTCCAAGGCCTCCTTAGGAAATTAAACAAATACTTTCTTCTTTGGTCATTATTCCCACATTCTACTACAGTTTTTACATTATACCTTCCTGTACATGTACATTGTACAACATTCAAACAAGACTTGTGTTTCGAAGTCGCAGATTCAGCATAAAACGTTGATCGTGTAGAATTGCTGCGATTTGAAAATTATTATTTTAAATAATAAATGTTTTACGTGTTATATTACTTAGTAATAAATATTAATATTTTTTTTACATACACACATTTGCAGATTCGTCTTTAAAAATGGTGCCAAAAACTGAAAGCCACTAGATAGCAGGTTGATAAAGATGAATAGTTGAGTGGAAACAAATGTGTAAAATCGAAAAGGTTTAGAAATTGTATCGCTTTCACGTATACATAGTTTTTACGTCCAACACACATTACATGGTGCACGCGCATGGTCGTGACGCCCCGAGGCAGTGGAGCGCGTCGTATCCATAACAACGGATTCAAACACAGTAGCTCGCGCACGCTCCGATGGAAACATGGACCCTTCACCAGCATCCTACTACGGACCCCTGGATAAAAACAACCCTGTATTGTCAGCATTTCAAAGTGACCTAAAAGAGTTTAAAGCGCATATAAAGAAACTTTTAGGCTCTCCGAGCTACGACAACCGATCCTACTCCAGGGGGTAAGAGACAAACAAGAAAAAAAGAGCGAAAATCTTTAACAAAAAATAATGTCATTTGTGGTTTGTATTATGTTTTATATTATTTTATTTACGTTTAAGTATAATTAATGTACTTTGTTAACTGACAGGTCCATAAAACTGTTTGAAACATGGAACAAGTATAAATCTCGCCTTCCTCCATGTTATTTCGAAGAGCACCTGTTGCAAACTGCTGATTTCCTCCTTGACACTAAGGTAATGACAACGGTATTTTTACCTTTTTTTGCCACAGTTCCTTCAAAATGTATTTTGCTAATGCCTTCCGTTTTCATTAATATATCAATATAATGTTTCCTTTATATAAATACTCTTTATAATTTCTTATAAGCTATACAGGCTTGCTCTCTGGCAAGGGTACAGACTCTATCTGCAGCAGTTTTGCACACTAAGCCTGGAAAGCATAAGAGATGTGGAGCACTTCAAGCAGTCCTTCTTCTCAGATGGCTTTGGTTCAAAGAGAGCCCAGCTTACGGTTAGAGATCCTCCCTGAAGTGCATTTAGCTGTTTTCAATATAAATGTTAGTTTCTTAAATAAATTGTGTGGTTTTTGATTCATAATGAATGAACTTTGATCCGTGTGTCTGTTAGTTCCGTGCTCTTGAGGGAGAATGTCAATGCATCTTCTATTTGGAGAGAGAGAAAAGTGCACTTCCAGACCAGGCTGGGGTTCAAAAGTTGCTGAGCATCCTGGGATTTGTGCGCATTCTTATGCAGGCTGTTCTGCCTGATGAAAGTTTATGCTGGATCCTGTACAATGGTACCTTCAGCAGCAATATGTCTGGGTGCTGTACATATCACATTGACAATACGTGGTGATGTGACTTGTTTTCTATATTTCCTCAGGCTCGTTACACATGTATAACATATGCAGGTTCCTGATGTCAGCAGGCCATGCTTCACAGGTTCTCAAAAACAGTTTTGCATGTTTTGTAACACTTTTAAGGATAACAATACTGTTTACAAAAAAATATAAAATGCTGTTCTTTTGAACTTTCTATTCATCAAAGAATCATGGAAAAAAAAGCAGCACCACTGATTTTAACACTGATAATAATAAGAAATGTTTCTTGAACAGCTCATTTCTGAAGTATTATGTGACTGAAGACTGGCTGGTAAAAAAAAAAAAAAAAATCGGCTTTGTCATCACAGGAATAAATCACATATAAAAAAAAAATTAAAATAGAAAACAGTTATTTTAAATTATAATAATATTTCACAATATAAGCAGCCTTGGTGAGCATAGGAGATTGTTTTGAAAAACATTTTAAAAAAATCATACCAAACCCAAAATTTTGAATGACAGTGTACCTGTTACAAAGCAGCTGAAGCAGAGGCAAAAGCAGGATCCACGTGCAGCAGTGTTTTATTTAAATAAACTAGAAACTAAACAGGCTTGGTAACCAGACTCAGGAACAGGACAGCGTGCATACAGCATTACAACAATACAAGAACTCACAAAGACTGGACTGAAACACAGGGCTTAAATACAGGGGCAAACGATCTAAACAGGATAACAAGGGGGTGTGGTTAACGAGAAACACCTGGGAAGACTAATAGACAGACAGGGAACCACTAAACATGACAAGACAAACCCACACCGTGACATAGCCCCCTCCCTATGGGCGGCTCCTGACGCCCATAAAACACCAAAAAGTTCAGGAGGGCGGAGACGGACTTGGGGGAGGGATGGAGGGCCAGGTCCGCGCAGGGAACGGGACCAGGGCCTTGCAATGACGGGCATGGGCCATGGAATGTGGGCGGACCTGGACCATGGAACGTGGGTGGAGCTGGACGTGCAGGTGGCCAGGGCGGAGCAGGCTGTGGGCGTGTCCATGACGGAGCAGGCCGAGGGCGTGGCCACGGCGGAGCAGGCCGAGGGCGTGGCCACGGCGGAGCAGGCTGTGGACTTGGCCACGGCGGAGCAGGCTGTGGGCCCTCGGGCGTCCAGGGCGGAGCTGTCGGACCCTTGGGCGGCCACGGCGGAGAAGACCCCTCGGGCGGCCACGGCGGAGAAGACCCCTCGGGCGGCCACGGCGGAGAAGACCCCTCGGGCGGCCACGGTGGAGAAGACCCTTCGGGCGGCCACGGCGGTGAAGACCCCTCGGGCGGCCACGGTGGAGAAGACCCTTCGGGCGGCCACGGCGGAGAAGACCCTTCGGGCGGCCACGGCGGAGAAGACCCCTCGGGCGGCCACGGCGGAGAAGACCCCTCGGGCGGCCACGGCGGAGAAGACCCTTCGGGCGGCCACGGCGGAGAAGACCCTTCGGGCGGCCACGGCGGAGAAGACCCTTCGGGCGGCCACGGCGGAGAAGACCCCTCGGGCGCCCACGGCGGAGAAGACCCCTCGGGCGGCCACGGCGGAGAAGACCCCTCGGGCGGCCACGGCGGAGAAGACCCCTCGGGCGGCCACGGCGGAGAAGACCCTTCGGGCGGCCACGCAGAGAAGACCCTTCGGGCGGCCACGGCGGAGAAGACCCTTCGGGCGGCCACGGCGGTGAAGACCCCTCGGGCAGCCACGGCGGAGAAGACGCCTCGGGCGGCCACGGCGGAGAAGACCCCTCGGGCGGCCACGGCGGAGAAGACCCCTCGGGCGGCCACGGCGGAGAAGACCCCTCGGGCGGCCACGGCGGAGAAGACCCTTCGGGCGGCCACGGCGGAGAAGCCCCCTCGGGTGGCCATGGTGGAGAGGACCCAAATTTTCTTAGGGGCAGCCATGGGGTCATCAGCAGGAACAGACACCGGCGCGGGATCAGCGGCCTCTGGCGCAGGATCAGCGGGCTCTGGCGCAGGATCAGCGGGCTCTGGCTCAAGTGTGTGCGCAGCCCACACACACCACATGGCTGTGGCCATAACGTGACGTGAACGGTCTCTGGCTGGACAGACGTGACGCGAACAGTCTCTGGCTGGGCAGATGGGACGTGTACAATCTCTGGCTGGGCAGACGGGATGAGAACAGTCTCTGACGGGCAGGTGACTGGTTCAGGCCTTGGCGAGCAGGCGACGGCCTCGGGACTGGACGAGACCAGTGGCTGGACGGGCTCTGGCTGGACGGGCTCTGGCTGGACGGGCTCTAGAAGACTGGCCCCTTGAACGGTCTTCTTGGCCCTCAACACTGACATCAGCGGTGGCTGTGCCACGGTGGACATCAGTCCTGGATGCCCATAGACTGATGCCATTGCTAGCTTGATGGCTGAAGTGATGAGAAGAACAGGCTGAGGGGGTACTGCGGGCTCACGGAGCTCCTTTTCCTCCACGCCCACAGTAAACGGAGAACCGCTCAGCAAAAGGGCCAGGTCGATATATTCTTCCAACGAGCCGTGTGGATCATGGGCAGGCATCACAGACCGGAGTGGTTCTGATAATCCTCCACGGAAAAAGATCATCAGGCATTCTGTGCTCATTTGCACGAGATGTGCCAGTTCGACAAAATCTGCCACATAGTCCTCAATGGATCGATCATCCTGACAGAGACGCAAGATTTGAATATCTGGGCACAGGGTTGGCATGGCTGCTGCTGGATCTCGGTGCGGTGAGTTCTTCTGTTACAAAGCAGCTGAAGCAGAGGCAAAAGCAGAATCCACGTGCAGCAGTGTTTTATTTAAATAAACTAGAAACTAAACAGGCTTGGTAACCAGACTCAGGAACAGGACAGCATTACAAGAACTCACAAAGACTGGACTGAAACACAGGGCTTAAATACAGGGGCAAATGATCTAAACAGGATAACAAGGGGGCGTGGTTAACGGGAAACACCTGGGAAGACTAATAGACAGACAGGGAACCACTAAACATGACAAGACAAACCCACACCGTGACAGTACCTAAACCTTATTAATATTTCAAGATTAACATATGACCACACTAGTCTAATTTTGTTTACCTCAGGTTGTTATACAATACAAATAGGCAGAAATATAGAAAAGTGAATATGTATAAAGCAAATCTACATACTTTCTTAACATTTTAATTAACAACATGTATTACATTTCTGTGAATCAAATCCCTTCATGTTTGGAGCAAGTACTTTTTTTGTGCAAAATATATACTTTTGTTTTAAAAAATTTTTTGGTCTTCGTTCAGGTTTTAGAGTACTTACTATGGGCATGCACATGTCTAGAGACTTCTGTTCCTCTGCTGACGGCCAACTTCCTGCCATGGAGGTCCACACTTTGCTGTGCTGTGTGTGAATGTTACTTTCATGACTGTGCTTCAGTTCAGGCAGAGGTGGGTTTCACACCAAAACAGTGTCTAAAGTTGCTCGATAAATCATCTTATAGCTTTATGACGGATATCAGAGACCACATAGGCATTCTGTCGTTCTTGCCTCTTGTTGTGCCCTTATGGCGTTAGGTATTTGCGCGCCGAGCCCTTGGCAAGATCAGCGAACTGGCCAAGCTGGAGGAGATTACTGGCTCCCAAGTGTCTTTTGAGACCCAGCAAGCTTATAAGGAGGCCACAATAAAAGTGAGAACTGTAGCCTAAATGAAACATGCTGTTGTTTTTATAGTTCTTGTATTTTAACTACTATATTTTTCATGCCTGTCTTGAATCATGTTATTGCTCCATTGACGGAGAGAAGCTTGCAGTGATGGTGTTTAAGCGTTCAGTGTACGAACCCCGCAGGAAACCGAAAGGCCTCTTCAAACCCAAACAGAAGAGCAATTTGAAAGAGCTACAGCTAGTGAGTATTCACTTTAATGAGGTACGATGCCTCTTTTGCCTAGTTCTTTTCTAATATCTATTCTATCTGTTTCCCTTATTTCTCTCTGTAGACTCCATGGCCTCGCACGCCAACCGAGCGTATCCTGATGGAGATGTTTGAGGGAAATGCTGCTCGGTTTCTGGCTGTGCTGGAAGCTCTGCATGACAGCTCTGCCAGGCCCCTGCAGACCGGCATGCCTGAAGAATTCGAGATTCAGGACGTGGTACTGGAGCTCATTTCGGCTGGCATTAGCTTGTTGTCCGGTAAACTTTTTCATCCTCTCTGTCCATGTGCAACTAAATATCAATTGTGGAGTGTAAATATCCCTTTTTTTGCAGCATTTGGTGATACTGAACACACTTTTGATGAGAGCATGCCTCCCTCTGTGAATGCAGTCACTCCTACCTCCTCTCTCTTTGACATGGCTGTCGCTGGTGAGTCCTTGAATTTAACTGGCCATTTATTTTACTTCACTCTAATTTGTGTTTGCTCAGGGTCTCTATTTTGTGTCTCTCAGGAAATAGTAAGATCGCTGTAGATGCTGCGGTGAAGTTTGTTAAGCAGCTCTTCAGATATGAACAATGGAGCACGTTCAGTTCGCTCTCTTCTGCACTTATGTCAGCTCTAGCTGTGAGTACATCTGTGATACGGCTTAAAAAAAGCCGACCAGACTGCTTTTTTTTTAGTCTTTTTCTTGGCCTGTTCACAGAACATGGAGGGCTGCCCGTTTAGGAAGTATGAGCTGGAACTGAGGCTTTTGGAGGCTGTGGAGCGCTTGTTGTCCACTCAAAGAGTTAAAATCACCATGAAAGATGCTGCTTTTGATGGTCAAGCTGGTACTAATCAAGAATTTAACGATTTCACTCATAGCAATAATCAAATAATCAAGATTTTTATTAATTAATTGGTTATATATTTTTTCAGTTATTTTTTATGTACTTTAATTTATATATAGGGATAAACCGATATGAAAATTTTGGCCGATAACGATAACTGATAATTCTTTAAATTTGAAAGCCGATAACCAATATATTGGCCGATAAATCAAAATCCAAATTTTTATATAATTTTTGAGAGCCCGATTACAGAAAACAAAAGTCTCCGAATTAAAATCCATGTAACAAGCACACAATTATAATGTTCTTATTCTAATTTTATGTAGCCTATATGACAGACTTGCGTTGCACATATTACACTCAAACATGTTCTTCTTTTTGAAGGTATTTCAATCATATTTCAAGCCAATCAAAACCATCATGGCGAACAGTGCGCATCTGAAGTGTCCCATCTGAAGAAAATAATTCATTATTTATCGGCTTTAATATATCGGCCAAATTTTCTTATCGGGCCAATAACGATAACATTAATCAACATTTTCAGCCGATACCGATATGGTGGTCGATATATTGTGCATCCATAGTTATATACAAATCTTTATTTTAATTTAAAACAAAAATAAACATAATCCCTCTTGTTTTGTTTTATCCCATTACAGACAAGAATATTGGGCCAGCAATCATGACAGAAGAATTTTTCAATCTTATTCAGACACTTCATACTTGTGTCTGCAGGACAGACAAGGTCAGATCTTTCTCTCACACTGTCTGAAGAGGTCATAAAGCTGTGGTTGGTAACCTGATGTTGTGTATGTGTTGTGCAAACAGAATATCTGGCCAGATGCAGATTTGGTGTTGGACATCGTGCTCTACTTTTGGGCTAAATGCAAAACAGTTTTTCAAAGAGCGCAGATGAGGCTTTATGACCCTGTGCACTACCGGGGAAGGATGGCAAACCAAGACCAGGTTATTATTCCAATAAACATTAAATCTAAAATGATTATTATGAGCGAATTGATTGCTTTGACATGATTGCTTTGTAAATTTTAAAAAGCATTCATTTAGCTGCTGCTTTGTAATCAGTTGCTGAATCCAAAACATGTAAGTTTTTTAGGTTTCTTTTGTATTGTTTTGTTCTGTAGTGGATGGAGACCCTGCTCTTGCTGTGTGAAGTGGCCCATGAGCACCAGCTGGCTGAAGTAGACTTCTTATTAGTGGCTGAAATGACTCTCAGAATTGCCATGGTGTTGGAAAGCAGCATGGATGCCCCGCAGTCCGGGAGGAAAACAGGTACTATTGCTGTGTTCCATTTACCTCAGAATAGGAATGATGGGGTTAGGAATTGCGTGACACCCAAGTTGACCGTGTTCTAGCACACAGGTCGGAAAACTAAGATGGGCACGTCCAGACAAACCTTTGTTGTGCTTGCTTTTTCGGAATACATAAAAGAGGTATTTTGCACAGATAATGCCGAAGTATCTTGTCCTTGTATCTTGAGACACTGACAAACAGAAGTGCTATAAACAACATATTACTACATATTTGATTACATTTTTTAACATATTTAATTTTCTTTAAAAAAAAGAAATTAAAACTTTTTTTCAGCAAGGATGCATTAAATTGATCAATAATATCACGCAGCACAACTGCTTTTTAACATTGATGATGATAAGAAATGTTTCTTGATCACCAAAGCAGCATATTAGAATGGTTTCTGAAGGATCATGTGACACTGAAGACTGGAGTAATGGCTCCTGAAAATTCAGCTTTGACATCACAAGAATAAATTACATTTTAAAATATATTCAAATAGAAAATAATATAATATTTCTAAAATATATTCTATAATATATTTTGAATCAAATAAATGCAGCCTTATTGAGCATGAAAACTTGTATTGTGTATTTTGCACTTTTAGTTATATATTTAAGTTTTCTTCCCTTGTGTTTTTTTCTGTAGCCACCACTGTAGATAGTGAAGAGTTCATCCCTGTTAGAAAATCTGCAAGCTCCTTGTCCATGGTATGTTATCCTACAAAGTAGAAATAGAAGATAAAACTCTACTTAAAGTTTATAAGCAGTTCAGCATCATTAGATTCAACATTTAGAACAATTTAAACAAATAAAAATACCTTAGAATCTGAGAATGCTGTTTAAACCAACAAAATCTCATGCAGTTTTATGGAATTGAGTCAGGTTTTAACCATAATAAAACTTTATTTTAAACATGTCTGCAGATGTCCCGAACTGAGCAGCTGCAAACTGCATTGGATTTGGTGGAACGAGGTGTGGATTGTGTGTCCAGAGGCAGGGCCAGGTCACTTAATGGGGGTTCTGCTGTCTTTGACAAGTTGTTTATGCAGGCACGAACATACCAAGTTTTACTTTCTACAACAAAAGCTCTGTTACTTCCTGTTACTTTATATACAGTAAGCATGCTTAATAAAATGTGATGACTGTCTTAACTACAGAAGTTTGGTGATTACAAGAGTTCAAAGAGCAGCAGAGTCCCAGAGAGCAGCGGTATCACTGACCTTACTGCCCTTTCCATGGATTTACACCTAGAGCTAATGGTTTTTCAGCACAGACTCACTCTCAAACTATCTGACTCCTGGCCAGGTCAGAGAGATGTGCAATCTTTCAACATTTTGGTAAATGACATTTAAGCGTGTCACTGAATGCATCGTATTTGTTCTCCTCAGAAGAGATCAGTTTGATGGAGAGTAAGAAGTCACATACTAATCGAGTGCAGACCTCAGAAACAAACAGACCTATAGAAGGTGAGTTTCAAAACTGTGTAACATGAACGGAACATCTGGGTTACATGATAACCCTCGTTTCTTGAAGGAGGGAATGGAGACGCCAATGTCGAGACCGACAAAAAGGAATCCCGCTAGAGAGGCCAATCTACTTCGAGTGAAACTAAATGAGCCAAATCACATTGGCGCGCAATCATTTGCATTAACTGTTCAGCCACGCAGCGTGGGTATATAATGAGCAGCAGGTGCGATTGCACTTAGGCTTTTTGCTGAGGAGCCGAGCCGATAAGCTGGCTGCCCCAGCGGGCCGCAGCAGATGTGGCTACGGGACGTGGCATCTCCGTTCCCTCCTTCAGAGAACGAGGGTTACCATATGTAACCCAGACGTTCCTCTTCAGTCGTTTAGGAAGGAGAATGGTGCGGAACCCACATTCTTCCCTGAAGGAGTTATGTGGAGATGTACATATGGACTATACCGCGCAAAGGTTGTACTGCATATGAAATACTGGGTGACTTAGCCCAAGGGAAAGACACGGGCTTCCGTTTAGGAGCAGCTGTGGAAGAAATACACATATGGGATCCCCTCAGGGTCACACATATGGGACCCAGCTCAGACCCGGTTCTCAAGGAGTCAATGGATAAAGGCCTGGCGCCGGACGTTCCGCCTCAACAGGTTTTTCACTCTGGAGCAAAAAGGGTGCACAGTCGGGTGCAGCAAGCCGACAGAGCCGGGCCTCTCAGTGCTTCTACCCATCTAGGGTGAGAACACAGGAGGAGACCGGCTCTACACGTAGGCTATAATATCTAGCGAACGTGTTAGGTGTCACCCAGCTCGCAGCTCTACAGATATCTGTTAGCGAGGAGCCACGTGAGGAGAATGCAACACCTCTCGTGAGTGGGCAGGGCACGTCTTGTGCTTGGTAAGCCAAGGCGATGGCATCCACTATCCAGTGGGCCATCCTCTACTTGGAGACAGCCTTTACCTCTTGCTGGCCTCCGTAACAGACAAAGAACTGGTCTGAGGTCCTGAGACTTTGAGTTCTTTCCACGTACAGACGCAGAGCGCGAACGGGACAGAGCAAAGCCAGGGTTGGGTCTGCCTCCTCCAGGGGCAGCTCTTGCAGGTTCACCACCTGGTCCCTGAAGGGAGTGGTAGGAACCTTGGCCACATAGCCAGGCCGGGGTTAGGCACAACTCAGTACAACATGGTTGTCACCCGGCCCGAACTCTAGGCACAATTCGTTGACTGAAAATCTTGATAGAGGCCAGTACAACCAGCAGCAAATTCTTCATGGAGAGAAGCTTTAAGTCTGCTGATTGCAAAGGCTCAAAGGGAGCATCCTGAAGTGCTCGAAGCACCAGGGAAAGGTCCCAAGAGGGTATGGTGGGGGGTCGTGGAGGATTTAACCGTCTCGCCCCCCTAATGAACCTGACGACCAGGTCGTGCTTTCTTGTTGTTTTGCCATCTATGTGGTCGTGATATGCTGAAATAGCGGCAGCATGTACTTTGAGGGTGGAGGGAGACAGCCTTTGCTCCAACCCTTGCTGCGAGAAGGAAAGCACAGACCCTATTGAACATATTCGGGGGTCCTCTCGGCGAGAAGAACACCACTCGACGAACAGGTTCCACTTCAAGGCGTACGCACATCTCGTAGATGGCGCCCGCGCTGAAGTGATGGTGTTAAGTACCTCTGGGGGTAAAAAAAAAAAAAAAAATTGCCTCTGGGGGTAAGTCACCTAGAACCTCCGCGTCCTGTCCAGGGACCCCACATGGAGTTTCCAGAGGTCCGGGTGCCATAGGGTGCCCCGTCTCTGAGTCAGAAGGTCCTTCCTCAGAGGAATGGGCCAGGGAGGGACTGTCATGAGGAGCATGAGTTCGGGGAACCAGGTCCAGGTGGGCCAATAGGGAGCCACCAGAAGGACCTGCTCCTGCTCCTCCTCCCTGACTTTGCACAGGGTCTGTGCAAGTAGGCTCAATGGGGGAAATGCATATTTGCGGAGGCCCCAGGGCCAGCTGTGTGCCAGTGCGTCAGTGCTGAGTGTTCCCTCGGTCAGGGAGTAAAACAGCTGGCAGTGGGTGGTCTCTGAGGAGGCAAACAGGTCTACCTGAGCCTCCCCAAACTCTCTACAGATCAGCTGAATCACCTGGGGGTGGAGTCTCCATTCTCCCGGGAGCACAGCTCGTGACAGCTCGTCGGCCACACGGTTGAGCACACCGGGGACATACATGGCTTGAAGCGGCCTCAGATGCTTCTGACTCCAGAGGAGGAAATGGCGGGTGAGTTGCGACATGCGACAGGAGCGTATACCACCTTGCCGGTTGATGTACGCAACGGTCGAAGTGTTGTCCGTACGGACCAGCACTTCCCTGCCCTGTAGCGGGCTTTTTAAGTGGCTCAGAGTGAGACGTACTGCTAGCAACTCGAAGGCAGTTGATGTGCCAATGCAGTTGGGGGCCCATCCACACCTCTGACACCGAAGAAACAAATGATTGCATGCCAATGTGAATTGGCTCGTTTAGTTTCACTCGAAGTAGATTGGCCTCTCTAGCGAGATTCCTATTCGTCGGTCTCGACGTGGCGTCGACTGACCGACTGAAGAGGATCAGTATGTCAGTTTTACCCAGATTTACTCCTTAACAGACTCTACGGAACTTGAGAAAATCAAGAAGAATAAGATCTCTAAGAGTGTTTTCCTGGCGCAGAAGGCCTTATTGGCATTCAGGAAGGACCAGGCTAGTCGAGAGACCAAGAAAATACTTGAGGTCAGTATTTGATGTCAACTCCAAACATTTGATTCCACATCACCTCATGCTGCTGGTTTTGGTTTTATCAGATAACATGATCTAAACTGTCTCTTTTTCTCTCCAGGAGGCCACAATGCTGATGGAGAAAGCCGAGCTGGAAGAGAGGAAGCTGGTTAGTTGTACATTTCCTTCAGAGAACAGTTTAGGACTGGCAGAGAAGAGACAGCCACCACCAATCCCAATACTCCTGACACGATCTAACTGCTCCATGATCTTCACACCTGCGCCATACGCACTGGAAGAGGAGGTTGTCACGTCTTCTCTATAAACATAATTCTGAAATCAGTCAATGGCTCTTTGGATTTATTCACTGTGATATTCATGTGTAAATACTGAAAAACATAAATTAACTTTTATCCTGATCTAGGTTAGCTGGTATTGTATTTATGGAAGAGATGCAGAGGGTATCAACCTAAAAGTACGACTTAAAGACTGCTACCTACGTGGGACTGGAGAAATGGTAGGGTAAATGTCACTTTGACATATCAAATCACAAACTTAACTTTTTAATGTCTGTATTGTTCATTCATACTCAGTAACTGAAATTAAATTTGTGTTTCAATCAGATACCTGCCAAAGGTGAATGTTTACTTCACGTAAGCGGGTTAAAACCTGATAAGCAGTACATTTTTGCAGTGGGTGCTTTTGATGCTCAAGGCAAAATGGTGGGCGGAGCCATTGGAGAGACCACCAGACCTCTACTGGCCTCCCTGCCTCTACCACTGCTAACAACCTGGGCCCACATAGCTCAGGTACGTGGATCGGAATTTTTTGTGTGTCTCCCAAAATATTCATCCACATTCCTTAATGCCAGATTTTATGTTGTTTAGGTGGCTTATCAGACAGGACTCCACAGCCTTGCCAAAAGAGCTTGTAATGAGCTATGGAGCCACTTTACCCTTCCTTCAAGCTCAAATCTTGAGGTTCCAGAGTCGGAACAAGAAGCCAGTCTTGAAAGGCTGGCTCAAACAAGGTAGAAAAATAGCCTGTTTCTCTTGAGAAACATTCCGTTTCAAAGAGAAACAAACAATTTAGTGAAAGAATCTGAAATGCACAATTTATTTTGAGTATAAATTAATATTAATTATTATTTGTGAAGGTCTTAAATAAAGTCTTAATAATATAATATAATATAATATAATATAATATAATATAATGTGTCTTATTATATATCTGTTCCATTTGTGTTCTATTTTTCCTGCATGCAGACTCCGCCCAGAGACCCTGCAGTTTTCTTCTCCTCTCCTACAGCAGCTGTTTTTCTCCACTATTTTCATCCAGACAGATATTCACATCCAAGAGGGGGCACTATTCTGTGACAGTCTCTGTGATGGGGGGCCTTTGATCTGGGGCCAGGTTAGTGCCTACAAAGGGAAATTTGCCTTAAAATTGGTTATATAAATCATCATAACTGATAATGCAGCCTAGTTTTTCTTAAGTAATTCACCCTTGTCCTTATAAATCTGTTCTGTCGGCACATCCGTCACAGGAGGCCAGGCTTGCAGAGTGTGAACGGATGCTGGTGGCCATTGATCTTGCGCTGCACCTCAATGACAGCGCTGGCACCCTGCAGGCTGTAGTAAACTGTTACGGCCTTCTCGCTCCATTAATCTTCAATCAGATCCCTTCAGAGCCTGTCATTGAGGTCACTACTTTTAGAAATGTGCTTGATAATACTTATATGTCAGTGCTAGCTTGTCTTGAATCTTTATTTAGATTTGGTTCGGGTTTAGGTGGAACATTTTATCAGAAGATCCATAATTTCATTATTAAATCAGCTTTTTATATGATGGCTTTGCCAAAGCAAAGGGGGATTTAGATGCTTCTGTGTGTTTCAGATGCTGCTGAAGTGCTTTTCAGTACTGCTGGAGATTCCAGAAGTCCTCAAGCAGAAACGCCCTGCTGCCACCACAGAGTCCCTGCAGCACATGGTTGCCTGTATGACTTATTATTTAGCCAAGGTAGTAATTACATATAACAAACTGCTCACCCGTTAAGAAAGAATATATGAGGAAGAAGTTTCAGGAAGAAACTTCAGTCTTTTGATTGAAGTGTTTTTAAGAATGTGAGAAACAAATTTATTTATGTCTAAACTATTTCATCCAGCATCCTGTAGATTTAACTTTTAAAATGATTGTTTTTGCATGTGTTATAAGTGTATGATGCATTTCTGTGTGTTTTTAGAGCTTGCGCTCCACTCAGGAGAGTGGCATGGCATCATCTGTGTTTGAGTCGGGAAAGAAACTACTTCAGGAAATCACTGAGCCCCCTCTGCAACCTGCCAAACAAACATCATCAATGGAGCAGAATGGGGTATGAGATTTGTCTTGTTTATCATAGATAAACTACGTCTCATCCGTCCTTCGGATGATACGTAAAACTGAGGTCCTGACTCTCCCATGGCATTTCTTATAAAGAGTAGGAGTGTAACCTCGGTGTCCTGGCCACATTCCACCCATTGGCCCCTGCCAATCATGGCCTCCTAATAATCCCCATCCACTGAATTGGCTCTATTACTCTCTCTCCTCTCCACCTCTCTCTGGTGTGTGGTGAGCGCACTGGCGCCGTTGTACTGTGGCTGCCGTCGCATCATCTAAGTGGATGCTGCACACTGGTGGTGGTTGAGGAGAGATCCCCTGATATGATTGTACAGCGCTTTGGGTGTACAGAAGGACATATGAAAGCGCTATATAAATGCCTCATTCATTCATAGACCCTTTGGGATAGTATGCCACATATTCTATCTGCGCTACATTCATAAGTATTAATGACTGTGTGTGTGTTTGATTTCCAGAAGAAGACAGCTACCACGTATGATGAGGATCCCAGTAAACAGCTAAAGATTTTAGAGGTCATGGTCATGAAAAACATGCAAGCAGAAACATTAGGAAACTATGGTGTCACTTCTTGTAACAAAACAGGTACATGTTTTTCATATATCTCAGATCAGAATGGCAATATATACATTTTTGCCAAATAAAGAACTTGTTTTGTAATTTTAGTTTGTTGTGGCATTTGTTGCAGGGTCTCATGGATGTGAGCTCACTGGAGAGGAAGACCCTGTCGTACTCTACATGGTGATTGAAAACAGCCCCCTCCAGCATGCCTTTAAAGAGGGTATAACGCAAACAACACATACTAAAGAAAATCTGATTCATTGAATGAGCTATCATACACTCATTTTCTGTATTTGTGTGTGTGTTTGATTCAGTGATGAAGTTCAAGCAAAAGTCTTGTTTTCTGGAGTTTGTTGTGCACTTGCTCCAGAAAGCCCTGCTAGAAGATGAGCTGGATCTGGTGTTGCGGTGGGAGCAGAACATCTTGAACTGGCTCAGCAGGTGAGTGTGTGTCTGTTTGGGTTTATGTTTGGAATGTGTGTAGGTGTTTTGTCTTACATTTTTTTGCTGTCTGTAATATTGCTAGCCGTGATGAGGCTCTGTTCGTGCTAAAGAAACACTCGAGTCTACCAGGAGAGGAGTGGAAAGAGTTCACAACCTCTGTGATAGAGTACAATACAGAGGTAAGCTTCTGTCACTTAAAATGCGGTAACATACTCAAATGCATTCATTTGCACACACTACTTATCTCTTTCAGTTTGTAAATGCCATAACTACATTTCAGAAACAAAAAAGTGGCACCTTTTGGGGTGACAGGAAGTTGCTACAGAAAAGACTACTGATTGCATTCAAGAGCCGGAACTCTGAAAGGTAAAGCAATATCTGGCCCAGCTTGCACAATATTGAAACATTCCATATTTAAGATGTATTTTTAAAGTGTACACTAGCGTTCAAAATTTTTTTGTCGAAAGTCTCTTATGCTCACCAAGGTTTATTTTATTAAAAATACAGTCAAAATTTGTGAAAATAAAATAGAAAGATTTTTATTTGAAATAGAAATCGTTGGTGACAATTTAAAATCCTTGCTAAATAAATATTTTATTTTCTTTAAAAAATCTTACTGACCCCAAACTTTTGAATGGTAGTATACATGATTACATATTTCACACTTTGTCTGTATTTGCTTTTGTGTCTCTCAGAGAGGTCAAAGCTGTGGACATCCTGATAAATCAACTTGCTGCTCTTATCAGAAGACATCAGCGCCTCTGGAAGCTGAGGCAGATGCGCTCTGAGGATTCGCTGTGGCGTTGCCATGTCAATCTGAGCCTGGCTCGTGCCCACCTAGGCATGCTGAGGAAGAATCTTGGACCACCTCCCCAGCTCTGGTATGCAGATCCAACAGAAAAAGTGTGAATAATGTCAATGTCTGGGTCTTCGTCTTTACTCTGAATATCAAGTCTATTTTATATGTCCTGTTAAAAACCCTTTTATTATTGCTTTCTCTGAACATACTCGATTGAAACTTGAGCTTTTTTCTATCCGTTCCAGTTTTAGTCATCTATCGCAGTCTTTCTTCTCTCTCGCTCATTGTGGAATGCTAATTATGTGGAAGAACGTTTCACTGCAAATCAAGCCACCTGAATTGACACTTCCATGTCCCAAATCTGTACCTCGTCCTGGATCCCGTGCTAACAAAAGAAAAGTGAAACGCAAAGTTAAACACACTAATCAAGGTGGGTTAAAGTCTCTTTAGCATGACAGCTGAATATACACTACCGGTCAAAAGTTTGGGGTTGGTTAGATATTTTGAAAGATGTTTTGAAAAGAATCTTCTCATTTATTTGACCAAAAATACAGTAACATTGTGAAATATTTAAATTTAAAATAACTTTGACTGACAGGATTAACACGTCACAGGATTAACATTTTAAATGACATAAAAAAATTTAAAAATGCCGTAAAACTTCAAATAATAGCCGAGTCCCAAATAGACGCCTGTCTCTTTTACACGCCTGGTGTGGCTGCAGGTTTGGGTAAATAAAGGCCGGTCTCAAATAGAGGCCGGGTCTGTTTTTTAGTTTCGGGTTGTATTTAGTCCTCTAAAACCATCAGATCGTCCGCTTTTTGGCGGTCGCCAAAGTAAATTTTTGTCCCTCCAAAGCCTTTTTTGATCGATGAGTGATGTAGAATAGAATGACTGCTGCGCTTGACAGGGCGCGTTATGGGCCTTTCACACAGGACGCGGAAAGCGCTGCGCTGCGCTATGAAACCCATTCATTTCAATGGCTTGCGCCGCGCGAAGACGTTTTGTTGCTGCGTCGAGCAAAGCGCAAGCACAGCGGTGCGCACCATTGACTTGCTCGCGCGCACGCCGCGGTCAAAGTTCAAAATAGTTTAACTTTTGCCGCTGCGCTCTGTGACGATTATCAGCGCGGCCAATAGAAACGGGACATCCAAACAAACACGGAAATCAAAATGGATGAACGGCTAGTACTGTGTGTATCGGAATTTCCTGAGCTCTATGATACAAGTTTGAGGTCGTATAGGGACATCGGCAGAAAAGCGGTGTCATGGAGACATATCTCCATTCAAGTTGGCATGTCAGGTGTGTTTTAATATATATATATAATTTGTTATTTTGTGTCAGCTTTAATGTTTGAATAAATGTTTTATTCTAAAAAAGAACTGAGCTCATGATTCGTGTGTTGATTTCGATGTTATATGTGTGTGTGTGTGTGTATATATATATATATAATAAATAGAACTCCCGCTTAAAAGGTTTTTGAAAACTCCGCCTACTTTGCTCTGGCATAGCGCAGCGCAAATCGCGTTGTATCTGAAGGGCAACGCTGAACCCAGCGGCCAGCGCAGCGCAGCACAGCCCATTCCGCGTCCTGTGTGAAAGCCCCTTTACGAGAGAGAGAGCGCCCCGGCCGCGCGCGCGCACTCTCACGTCTTCAAACAACACGAGCGCTGTCTTGCTCTCTCTCGCTCGCTCATATTAATCAAAATCAATTGACGCGATAGTAAAAGGTCGGAAGACCGCAGTTTCACGTGGAGCATTTGGAGATTTTTAGAGATTAGAGACAGGCCTATACACTCAATGAACAACATCTCAACACTAAACAAAGGCCTGTCTCATATAGACGCCTGTCTCAAATACAAGCCGGTGCAGTTAGACGATTTGGGAAAATAAAAGCCCGGGCTAATATTTGAAGTTTTACGGTGATATATATATATATATATATATATATATATATATATATATATATATATATATATATATATATATATATATATATATATATATATATATATATATATATATATAATTCAAAATGTCAATCCTGTGACGCAAAGCTGAATTTTCAGGATCATTACTCCAGTCTTCAGTGTTGCATGATCAGAAATCATTTTAATATGCTAATTTGGTGGTCAAGAAACAATTCTTATAATTATTATCACTGTTCTATGATAAAAAAAAATCCCAGTGTTTTTGTTTTGTTGTTTTTGATGAATAGATTTAGCTAGATTTTGATGAATAAAAAAAGTTCAAAAGAATAATATCTATTTGCAATAGAAATCTTTGTAACATTATATATGTCTTAACTGTCACTTTTGTATTAATTTCTTTAAAAAAATCTTACGGACCCAAAACTTCTGAATGGTAGTGTAGATCATTACATGTAGATGCAATGAATGATTGTCATACCTTTCTCTACATTTTCAACAGCACCAAACACCAGTGATGAGGAGTTGAACTCTGCAGACAGTGAAGTGGAAAGTGAAGTGGACTCTACATTTCGGCACACCCACAACCCTGAAGCTGATGACGCTCCTACTGGTCAAGCCACCTTTCATTTACTGGACACACTTGACAAAGCCTCTATATACTTGCGCAGAGCTATGGTAAATGCAGTTTCATTTTAATAGGTCTAATTTGATACACTCGTCTTGTTTTTTTGGTGATTTTATCAACGGCATCTCCCATTTTTTAACATCAGGTGCTAGCACATCGCTGGAGTCACTGGACAACTTTACAGTGGGTGTGTCGGACTCTGTGGGACCAAACCAGCACACTTGCCTTGATGATAGAGCGAGCCCAAGGCCCTGATGCCCATGCCAGACAGCTGACGATAGAGCAGCTCTATACAGTGATCACTCCTCTACTGGTGCTGGCCTCAGATCTTCTTATGGACATGATGGAGAAGCTTAAGGTTAATACACATCACCTCTAAAACAGTGGCTTTAACCTTATTGACTTTTTGCCCACTGTCCAAGGCCCCCTACATAATATAATATTAACTATATAAAATCTGGGAGTGTCAGTATAGGTACATTAACCACAATAATTTTTTTTAGCATTTTAATAAAAATTAAGAATTCTCTAATTCTTTATAAAGATTTCTTTATTTTATTTAGTTGATTATATTATATAAACAATTATTAATTATAATTCAAATGCACATACATGTGCTAAATTAAGATTAAGAATCCACTTATAAGTGGCCTGCAAGATAAAACCACATGCCGTTATGCACCATTGTTGGAATACTTGATTCGGATACTTGATTGGCCATTTGCCTCATTCTGCAGTCAGATATTTTTATATAATGACCACTAAACTGTAGGATAAAGTTATCTGACATAACTGTTTTTTTTTATTCTCTAGCTGTGGAATGTTTATGATGATGAAGAAGGGGAGCTTGAGGCCAGCTTGTACTTCTCTGCTCCAGTGGACGATGGGACAATGATAGATATGCGCTGGCTGAGGACTCTGGTTCTGCACACATTAGAGCTTCTGTACTACCAGTCCAAGTGGGAGAGTCTCGCCCACCTTGCACTACTTTTCAACACATACACTAGGTACGCTTATAACTCACTGATGCTGGTGGCATTGGTTTGTGTACTTGCTGAAAGTATACATGTAACTGAAAAGTTTATGAATAGAATTCCTCTCACAAAAGAGTAGCTATTTAAATGCAAGGTGCATGGCTTTCAGGGAGCGCTACTCTCACATGGTAACACCTGTTCTGGTGCATGCACAGAGGAGGCTGTTGGACAGGATCAGCTGTTTCGGTGGTCCTCCAGCCCCTCAACCTCACTTCACCTACACTGGGATGATCTCTGGAGAGAAGGTAGAAAGAAATGATCACATACACATCATTCTTATCAACTTGGGCAGAACTATTTAAAAGTTTAAGTTCAAAGCCTGTTCAACAAACATTTGCAATGAATACTCCACAATTAGATTTGGTAAAATTACTAAGTTTTGTGACTGATGTCCATAGGTGACCTGCCGGAATTATGCAAGCAGACAATTGCTGTTTCCTTGTGGAGAAGGTCGAATTATGATTACTGCAAATGATACTAACCCAGAGCTCAAGGAACTTGCAGGTACAGTCTACAGAAAAGGGTTGCCAGGTCCCATTTATTTTCTGATAAATTTTGTGTGTTTTGCATGTCACATTTGGGCCATGTATAATGATTTGTATTTTTTTTTTAAAGACCATATTTAAGTCTTTTGTGTTTTATAATTATTTTCATCTTTATTGCAGATGTGAAGAGAGCCATGTGTCTGGTGTGTGTACCGTTGGATGTGAAGGACACACTGCAGTGTTTCAGAGAGACTCTGGAGAGAAGAAATCATGCACTGCTGACCTTTCAGCACAGCCGAACTCTACTCCTGCTGCTACTGGCTGACACACAGCACTGTAAGTCTGACCCACAGCGGGTCATTACGATTCTTTTTCCTTGAAACAAATTAATACGTTTATTCAGCAAGGATGCATTCAACTGATCAATTTCTATTCATCCAAGGACCATGATTAAAATGTATCATGGGTTCCACAAAAAAATTAAGCAGCAGAGCTGTTTTCAAAATTGATTGTAATAAGAAATGTTTCTTGAGCAGGAAATCAGCATATTAGAATTTCTGAAGGATCATGTGACACTGAAGACTAGAGTAATGATGCTGAAAATTCAGCTTTTCCATCAAAGGAATAAATGACATTTATTTTTATTTATTTATTTATTTGAGCAGTAACCATTCTGCTCAAAAGGAGTGAGCCGAAGCAAAGGAGCTTATAAGCGCCCACCCCCAAAATTTTATACAAGAAAAATGTTCATTTTACAATATTTCAAGGGAACATAGTGCAAAAGCAACAATACAACAACAAAGAGACAACAAAGTATCTGATCATGGTAGAAGTACCCCTAATGACAAGTCATTTCTTCTTCTCTATACTTATCAAAAATCTTTTGTTTGCATTTGTATTTAAAAAGATTGATGTTTGGACTTCGTCTCATTACTATCTCCAAATTATTCCACAATTGTACCCCATTAACTGTAAGGCTAAAACTTTTCAAAGTCGTACTATGTTTCTGCATCCTAAAGTTTAATTCATCACGTAATTCATAACAACCAGTACGTTCTTGGAACCTTCTTTGTATTTGGCTTGGTAACAATTTGTGCCTTGCTTTGTATAGCATCTGTACTGATTGGAACTCAACATTTTAAAATATATTAAAACAGTAAACTTTATTTTAAATTGTAATAATTTTTCACAATATTAAGTTTTTTTAGTGTATATTATAGCAAATAAACCAGCCTTGGTGGATGAGCATATGAGATTTCTTTAAAAAAACATTAAAAAAAATCTTACCGACCCCAAACTTTTGAACATCACAACCATACATTTTTTAGGCCATGGCAAAAAGTACAGAATATTACTTAATGAGACTTTCACATTAAAGTATACCTAAATTACAAAAAGTTTTACTGCAGACCTTATTTTACTACTAAAGTAAAAAACGCTATTTTAAAAGCACTTTTGGTAACCCATGCCATTCTAATTTTCTTCTGTATTTTAGGACTTCAAACTAAACAACTATTTTGTTTCACTTTCAATCACACCCTTTATATGTGGCCTCAGCGTATGTTGAGGTGCCATTCTCTAAAGAGACCAACAGCGTTCTGCAGGGGAAAGTGGAATTCAGCATGGCAGCCTACATCCCGCCAGGTGTCAGACCTCCAGACCTGTCCACAGAAGACTTCAACTCTCTGGGCTCCATCTACAGCCCCACCCTCCCTACATCACAGCTCCAGACTGTTTTCTCCTCCTACAACAATGCAATTAGTGAGAACCGATCTAAACTCTAACACATTACAAGCTGAATTTGTTCATGAACAAGCTTTTGCAGTACAGATATGTTGTTTTGTTATTTCATGCAGAATATCTTCAAGCAAATAAGTACAACTCCCTCCAGGTGCAAGCACTCCATGACCTTGGAAACCTGCATTTCTTCAATGGAAATCGAAAGTATGATGTGTTCATTGCATTGTTTTCCTGCTTTGCTTATTAGTTTGAGCAGTTTCATACTGTATGTTTACACTACTGTTCAAAAGTTTGGGGTCGCCAAGATTTTTAAAAGGTTTTGAAAGACGTCTCTTATGTTCACCAAGGCTGTATTTATTTAAAGGGGGTCATGAACTGGATTATTTTATTATTTTTATAATGTTTCCTGGGGTGCCCTTATAATGATTTTTACATCAAAAATTGTCATAATTTAGAAATAAAAGGTTGACATCTTTGCATATGAAATAGCCAGAATTACATGTGGAACTCTCTCGAATACTTTTACAAAGTTTGTACTATTACAGCTATCGAGATTAACGAATCGTAAAAAGTAATGATTATAGCATTATATTTAGATATTATATTTAGAAGAGATTCATCATTGCAACGCAATTTCTGCACTCTCACGAATGCTTTCACCAAATAACAATGCAAACACGATGTAAATACAGTAAGAGCTTTGTTGTGCAGTGTAACGTGTCATTGATTTCATAACGAGTTTTGGCAAGTGTCCAGATTAACTTTCGCTGTGTGATTTACAGCTTGGGCGATTGGAAAGGGAGCGTTCTTTAAACACTTTCTGTATATAATTTAATCACAGTTTAAATAAGATTATTTTCATCCTAGTACTAAGAGAAACGAGGTGAAGTTGATCTTTTAGTCACTAGCTCGATTTACTGATGCATAACAGTATTGAATGATTTTGAGAGAAAGAAAATCTGTCTGAACTTGAATAATTACACATCAGAAATCACTGACACAGATCAGGCATTAGTGTGGCGTTGCTGTCAGATCCATATCGTAAAAGTCGTAAAAGAAATTGCGACTGATTCACCAAATAATCAACAGTGAAATGCACCGAATACAAACAAATAATGCACTGCTGCTGAGACATTCACATTGTTGAAAAAACAACGCGCTGGAGGCGGTCATATGCAAACGACTGGTGCTAAGTGACGTCACCTTGGCCCATAGGATTCACAACGAGCCGTATTTGGAGCTTGCTTCTTTTATAATAGGGAGGACGTCTTAAGCTATGAAACTTGCAGGAAGTTTTAATGGTACAAATACCTCTTATATGCCAAAAGATCAAGGCAAATTTGGTCATCACCCCTTTAATAAAAAAGCGTTAATATTGTAAAATATTATTACAATTTAAAATAACTCCTTTCTGTCAAATGTAATTTCTGTGATGTCAAATCTGAATTTTCAGCATCATTACTCCAGTCTTCAGTGTCACATGATCCTTCTTTTTTCTTTAGTAAGTAATAATGACCCCAAACTTTTAAACATAAGTCTAGGTAATTGAATGTTTTGCATATACACTGTAAGAGGAGATGAAGTGCATCTTGTATTAGTGAGTTTGTATGTTTTTGTATAGATCTGCACACTTTTTCTGGAGTAAGGGTTTGGACTGTGCTCTGCAAGACTCTGGAGTTCTGGAATCTTGGGATGGTGACTCATGGAGCTGCAGCTCCTCCCAGGAAACCCTGCAGCATGCTGGGATATGGGGTTGTCTCCAGGGAGCTTTGCTTTCCGCCAAAATTGCACAGTGAGTGAGAAACCATGAAGTTTTTTTGTGATGGTGCTCCATTACAGCAGTAAGATTTCTCCTCTATTGACAGGCACATCCTGACTTCCAACATTAACCAGCGCACAAAATGCTGCCTTCTCTCTGCCAAACTCTTCAAGGTCAGAATTGAGTCACAGAAATGTTCTTACAGTTAAAAGAAAGGACCTCCGTTTTTGTATCTGAGCCAATACAAAAAGTTTACTAAGGTCATATGCTTTGCAGTGCCTACTCATGGCCTCTATGCCTCATCCGATGACAGACCTGTCATACTCCACATACTCTGTGGAGATGGAGCTTATCCCAGGCATCGACCTCTTCTCTGAGCCGGACCGTGGGAATCTAGGCACCACTATTGCCAGTTTGTCCTTTCTCTGCCACTGGCTATATAGCTCAGGACACCTTCTCAAGGTACTAGAGCCTAGGGGTGTGCGATATATATCCTCTACGATAATATCGTAATTGTTGTTTTAATGAAATGCAATCTGACATTATCGCGTATGACCATCACTTTCCAACACACCTAGAGAGTGCGTGCATACACTACGTGATGTAGAAGTCTAGTAGGTTAGACTAGTGCTCTTGTGCATTTAGAGTGCACGCTTTCACTGCGTGATTTAGTCTATTAAATGCATTTATAATGCCCCCAAAATTCAAGATAAGGGGGCAAAATACCTTGTTAATATCACACAAAAAGTGCCGGTTTTCTCCAAATATTAGCACGATTACAAATGTGATATTGATTTTATACAACAGTTCAATAAACAAGAAATTAATATTAAGTGACTTACATTTTAGACAAAATATTGCCTTTTTTATCCATTTCGCCGATGTAAATAGTTTGAAAAAAAGCCATAGGACCATTTTGCGTCTCTAATCAACAAACAGCGGTGAATGAACAAATCATTTGAATAAATGATTCAAAGACTGACTCATTAAGACATTGACTTGACGTTCCTGAATTAATCAGCCATTTGAATGAATCGGTTCCTATGAATGAAGTGATTTAGGGCCCTATCATACACCCGGCACAATGCAAAGTCCTAAACTTAACAAGATACAAGTACAATAACACACTCAGCAAAATATCATCTAATTATCGTTATCGATAAAATTTCAGAAAATATCAAGATATAATTTTTGTCAATATCGCACACACCTAAACACACTCAGAGCAGCCTTTGTTCATTTGATGTCTGATACATCTTCATATTCAACACCTGTCTTACTGCTTATTTCAGTCTCTTCCTGTTCTGGCTCTGTACCTGTATATTGCCAGAACTGTGTGTCTGGATCCACACCATACTGTCAGATGCAAAATCCTGAAGGTTTGAAAGACTTCATTGTGTCTTTCTGTTATTCTTGTATGTATTGAAAAGCTGTATTGCAGTGGATGTATTTGTCTGTTTTGTGAGTTTTAATCAAGTGTTTTTGTGTGTATACAGATAAAGGTATTGACTGAGTTAGGGGCCTTCACTCAAGCGGTTCAAGAACTCAGTAATCTCACATTTGGCATGGAAATCCCTGTGCCTCGTGGATGCCACCACAGAGTGGAGAAGCCATCTTGGGTAAAACACCATAAACAATATAGGATATGTGTTCAGTTGCCTTATCTTGAAAAAGGAACTGATCTGAAGCAAAACACATTTTCTCTATTATCTTAAATATCTTTAAATCTTTTTCTTTTCTTTTTTTATTTCATCACTTTATGCTTTTTACATAACACTTCTAGACTACCATTCAATAGTTGGGGTTAGTAAGATTTTTTTTTTAAGAAATTAATATTTTTATTCAGCAAGGATGCATTGAATTTATAAAAAGTAACAGTTCACAGAGACTTTCACATTTTATTTTTTTGCAAAAAAGTCTATTTCTAATAAATGCTGTTCCTGAAACGCTGAATCCTGAAAAAAAATATATCATGGTTTCTGTTTGCAGCATTGATAATAATAAGAAATGTTTCTTGAGCTGCAAATCAGCATGTGACACTGAAGACTGGAGTAATGATGCTGAAAATTCAGCTCTGGCATCACAGGAATAAATTACGGTTTAAATATATTAAAATAGAAACACTTATTTTATACAGTTGATTTGTTTCACAAATTAAATTAAAATGTTTCACAATCACTGTTTTTACCTCGCAGCCTTGGTGAGAATGAGAGACTTCTTACAAAAACATTAAAAAAGTCTTACTGACCCCACACTTTTGAATGATAATGAATATAGTATAATAATTGTTACATTATCCTTTTTTGTGTCTTGTAATTTTTAAATGCACATTAACCCCCACAGGCAAAGGAAACATTTAATGAAGGAAAACCACTGTTGGATCCTTCCAATCTTCAAGTAAGTTTACCTGTTTAGCTGTATCAATAAAAATTATCGATATTTACTTCATACTGTACTGTTGAATAGGAATATCATGCTTTATACGATCCATTTCTTAGGTTCTGGAAGAAGTGGTTAATAGGAGGCCAAGTAAAGACATCATGGCTGTTTATGGCTCAAGATTCACCACATGGCTGCTGATGGCCAGAGTTCATCTCATCTTGGCTATATGTAGTACTATACAAGACCTGCCTGAGCCACCGCCACCAGGTATCATCTCATTACTAGTTTGTTATGGACAATTACAGATTATAAATCTACATAAACCCTTACTGAATCATATATTTTAACCCACAGAGTTATCCAAATCTCAGGAGAAAAGTTTGCTTGATGCCTCCAGCAGTGACGAGTCCAAGCGTCTCCAGCTCAGTGCCAGGAAACTCACATTAGGAGAAGTCAAGGTGCTTCATTTTACCTTCGTTTTATGACGTTAAAGCTGTCCAACTATCCTTTCTGTTAGATTGTTCTTCCAGATCTTAGGCTTATAAAATGTTTTTAACATTATTTGACCGTATAGCAATAATGGCTATGAAGTATGACGTTAGAAACACAAATATACAGTAAATGCATCTACCAAATGCCAAGAACATTAAGGACAAAGTTAACATAATGTCTCTCTATTGCATTGTTCAGGCCATACTCCTAAAAGAAGCACATGCTCTGGTTAGTCCTGAGCTCTTCACCCCACATCCGCTGAGCATTGATCCTGAAGAAATGGAGCTGGCAGTGGAGATCAGACTGTTAATGTCCAATATCAACATGCAGCAGGGCAGAATGGCTGCCAGGTAGAGCAGAAACATAAATCATGAGGAAGAGTGCACGTTTGTAGTTGTGTGGGTGTATACACTACTGTTACAAAATCATTACGATTTTTTTTGAAAAAATGTATTTATTTAGCAAGGAAACATTAAATTGATCAAAAATGACAACAAAGACATGTATAATGTTTCAAAATATTTCTATTTCAAATAAATGCTGTTCTTTATTCCCCAAAGATTCCTGACAAAAATGTATCAAGTTTTCCACAAGAATATTTTGCAGCCCAACGTTGATTCAGCATTGACAATAATAAGAAATGTTTCTTGAGCTCAAAATCAGCATTTTAGAATGATTTCTGAAGGATCATGTGACACTGAAGACTGGAGTAATTATGCTGAAAATATTACAATAGAACACAGTTATTTTAAATTGTAATATTTACAATATGACTATATTTTTGAGTAAATAAATGCAGCCTTAGTGAGCATTAGAGACTTCTTTCATAAACATTAAAAAACCTAACCAACCCCAAACTTTTGAACGGTAGTGTATGTTCGTGAGGATTCATGTATGTCTGGATGTTTGAATCTACTAAAAATCTAAACATTTTTCATTTCTATTGTAGTGCAGATCTGTCAGTGTCTGCTTTGAGGCTCCTCCAGAGTTCTCTTGTGTTTCAAAGTGATTTCCGCCCGCTACCTCCTCCTAAACCACCCTCCTCTGCTTTTAGACGACCCAGAGCCAAAGCATATCAGGTCATGATCAACCTCAGATTTACTTGCATAAATTCAATACTTAATTCAGATCTTGAGTCTCTCGTGTTCTAAAGGACTTTTCTCTACAGACTAGCTCCCGGGATGCAAAGTCTGTTCTCGATCTCCATACTGGAGATCTTCCAGAAGTGTTGGAAGCGAGAGAGCGCATGGATCTCCTTTTCTGGCTGCGCTGTAGGCTGGCAGTGGTTCGTTCCCTCGTAGGCCATATCCCTGGAACTGCAATCTACTCTGGTTAGCTGCTCTGAAAAGCTTAATGTGGTGGAAATATCGTTGGATGGTGTTTGTTGATGATTCTTGCACGTGTTTGTGCAGGTACAGACAGTAGTGCAGAGGCGCTCCGGCTGCTGAAAGAGGGTCTGGCTGAGGCAGAGGCCTGGGGAGATCCTGACACTAAAGCCCTCCTGCTCCTACAAGGCGTCCAACTCAACACACACCGTGGCAGACCCAGAGAAGACAGTACAGCCATGCTACAGGTCAGTAGGTAGCTATGACAGTTGATTGTGATTTAGTGCTATTTGGCCTGAACTTGACGGTTTCTGTTGGCCGATCACATGTGTGTCTGTTTAGGAAATTGTGAGCTTGTTGTCTGGGCGTAGTGCTCTATCTCTGCGCTCTCAAATGACTCTAGCTGAGGCTGCATTATTACTTAGTGAACTGAGAGGAACAGGAAGCCAGACTCTCCACCTCCTCACACAGAAACTACTGCAGAAACAGGTTTTGTTACACTTTTATGCTAAACATTTTTGTTAAAACTAGTCGCAAGAGAAAAAATGTATGTAAAATTCCCATTTGTTGTTGTCTAAAATGTTTTAGGATAGTAAAGATCTGGTAAAGATGTACAGATCCCAGATCACATGGTCACATATATATATATATATACCTTTATTTAACCAGAAGAAAACTCGTTGAGTTTAAAAATCTCTTTTCCAAGAGTGTCCTGGCCAAGACAGGCAGCAGCACAAATAACAAAGTTGCAGACATAAAAAACATATATATATATAACATATAATAACATAGATAACATATAGCATAAACATAAAACATAGAAGCAAGGATCATCCAAATAATTAATCATAACAAACCATAACAAACATTGAACATACAAGAACAAAAATATTAAATGCATGTGTTTGACATATTTTGTAGTGGTAATATTATTCTTTGTTTTCAGCTCTGTGCCACTGGAGAGTCTATAGGTCTCAAAAAAGGAGGCGAGGTGGAACTACGAGCGGGCCTAAAGAATATTTATCTTCCACAGCTTCCCCTGCTTGCCAAGACAACCATGCGGATTGGTATGACAACTACAATAAGGCAGCTCTGTATTGATGTTCCTCTAAGATTATGGTTAGGTGTTTGTTCTTAACCTGCAATTAATTCAAACAGAACTGCTTAATGTATAAAACCTTTTTTTAAATACCCTTACGTATGTGTTGTTGTTGTTTTTTGCCTTGTTTTTTTGTTTCTTGCTTTATTTTGGTTTTGTTTTGTTTTGGATTAATGCACAGAATTGTCCTATTGACTTGAAAATGTGTACTAAATTGTGATTGGTCTTCTTTCTTATATAATTTTGCATAAACTTTAAAACAATTATTTTGCTATGCATTGGTATTTCCTTCTAAAAATGCAAACTTAGTTTGTACTGCAATTTTGAAGGCTCAAAATGTTATTATGCTGTGTATTGATTCTTTCTGTTCCAGGTCGCTCTTTGGCATTGCAGGCCTTGTCACGTTCTTCTGAGGGAGTTGAGGAGCCCTGGAGGCCCTTAATATTTGCTAAAGAAGTTTTGCAGTCTGCACTCAGCATCTCTCAGGCCTCTGCCAACAGAGACTGCCAGCTGGAGGCTGATATCCTCTACTGTACAGGTGATCAATAGGGAGTGTTTTTTTATATTGTTTTTTTTTTATCTTCTGAACCAGTTGTGGATGGTTGATCATTTGTGTCTGCAGGAGTGGTGGGTAGACATCTCATTTCCATGCAGAAAGCTGGTCCTCAGGAAGTCCTAGAGGCCTTGTTTGGGTGTTTAACCACATTTAAGCACACTCATGGCCAAAGTTTACGGTAAGTTGCTTAACTAAAGCCCAAAGTATACTTCGGCCATCCGCATTCCGCAGCAGTCTGTGCACTGTCCGCGTGCATTCCAGTTTTTGTGTTAGCGCAGATGGTGCACGTACAACAGCGCATATGTAAGTGACTTGAGCGTTTGAAAACAAAATCCACTAGATGCACGCCCCGAATGCGACTTTCTGCTCTCGCGGCCAAAGGGGTATACTTTGAAGGGCTTGTGCACCTGGGCCTTAATATTCTCCTATAATTGTATTCAAACAGAAAGCAAAGTGAGAGAGGGACTTGAACTCGGGCCCTCTAAAGCTCAACAGCACTATATGTCAACACACCGCCCACAAGGCTATCGGCACCAACTAACCAGCATTCGTTTTGTAAATATTAGAACTAGGGCTGTCACGATTCCTTGATTAAAGTCGAGTACTCGATTTAAAAAAATCCTCGATGGCAATTTACCCGTGTTGGTGCATTCCACGGACAAGAATCCATGAGACGCATTGTTACACCGTTTTCTAAGGCTACGCGAACTATTTAAAACCATTTAAAATCATAATATAGCATAGTGCTATTGTGAAATCACAAAGTTTGCGATTCAGTTAAATAAATATATGCACTGTTTTTTTTTCCACAGAGAAGCACAATGCTTTAATTATTTACATGCGTGCAGATTACGTTAAAATTACTTCAGCTCCGTTCACAGTAAATGCTGCTCCACGCAAACTCATGCCTTGTCCAAATACCCACACTTATGGTCTTATAAAAAAAAAAAAATTTATTTTATTTATTTATTTGATCAGGGACAATGCACAAAAACCATTAATCTAAGAAAGAACAGATGTCATGTGCCAGGTTATAGCAAAAATGCTAATTTCCGCCTGTAGTCCCTGGACAGGTTGATGATATACTTACAAAATTGAAAAAATATGTACAGAATTACTGTCTTGGCCACTTGAGAGTGTGTGCACCCGACAGGAAGTAAGTGTGCAAGGCTGTCCCATCCATGGCTTAAAAATGCCAAAGTGCAGTGCCCTTAATGCACACTAAACCCACGCTAAGTGTATCCCATCATGCATTATGTTCGGGAACTCATGTACCCTGAAATCGCGAGATGTCGAGGAAAATATTCCACTGTAATTTAAATGAATTAGATACATATAATTAGTGTTGCACATTTTATTGGTGCAAAGATGAGTATGGTATGTGTAGGCCTATTTTGTACAACATTTGCAACTGTTTTTATCACTTAATTCGAAGCACCACAATTTAAAATTTGTGTTTTCTGTTAGTTACATAGCGACTACTGAACAGACATGTAGACGTTTATTTTAAAATGCAAAGTATTGAAAATATATAATAAATAAAAGCTCTGTAAACACTTGCATTTTTTCTTCAAGACTATAAGTGTGTATCATCGAGTAATCAAAAGTTCTACACACACTTGCAGTCTTTACACCTACTTGAACACTTAGGTCATGCAAGCAGACAAGTGTGCAAAGTGCAAAGACCGCAAGTGTGGGTATTTGGACAAGGCATCAGTCTCTGCATGTGCTGTTTGTTTAGGTTTCATTTGGGAATGCAAAAGTCGGACGCGGTTTGTGTTTCATAGTTGCACTGTTATCATTTGTATGCGTGGAGCGCGTCTCTGGTTTCTCAAACTCCATCTCTGCATGCTTTGAGTTTGGGTTTCTTATAACGTTCGTTTGGGAACGCAGTGTGTGCCATTTCACAAGATTTGTTACGTAGCTCATTTGTAAATCTACGCCAAAACAGGAGAATACATAAATACATTTCTAAATATGCAAATTGTTCATGGCGATTTCAAAAATAAATGTTTAAACCCTTGCACTGAGTTTGCATGTTTTGATGTGCACATATTCTTGTTCAAGAAATTAATTGTACTTTAACAGTGTTGTTCAATAAAACCCATATGATTACTTTGATACTTTACAGTATTTGAACCAATTATTATTGCTTGTTATTATATATTTGTATTTTAAGTCATTTTAAAGGCTGTTGTTCACTTGGATCTATTTTTATTACCACTATTATTTATCTGATTACTTGATTAATCGATGGAATAATCGGTAGAATACTTGATTACTAAAATAATCGATAGCTGTAGCCCTAATTAGAACCTCATTGTGTAAGAAACATGTGGGGAACAGAATGTAGACAGGATGAGAGTAGGAGAGAGAAAGGGGAAAAGTCCACGAGCTGGGACTCAAACTCGGGTTGCAGAATATGTTAGTGCTGATTCTATCTTGTGTGTGCATGGATCTTATCCAGCATCAGTTTAGTAAATCTTAGAACCTCATTGTGTAAGAAACGAGGGGGAACAGAATTCAATGGCAAATAATCCAGCTGTTGGAATCCGTTCCCCCACCCAGATGATGAGAGATGCTCATGTAGGGACTTAAAAGATGCTGATTCTATCCTGTGTGTGCATGAAGCTTATCCAGCACCAATTTGATAAATATTAGAACCTCCTTGTGTAAGAAACATGGGGGAACAGAATCCGATGGCAAACAATCCAGCTGTCAGAATCCGTTCCCCCAACCCCATGATGAGAGATGTTGAAGTAGTGGCTTAAAAGATGCTGATTCTAATAAAATAGGAACCAATAATCAAATCACAGCAATAGCACAAATAAATACAACAGAACAAACATTTTAATGAAATAAACTGTGCTTTTCAGGTTTTTCATGTAGGTTTAAACAGGAGATTTTCAGGTACAGACATTGTACTCTAATGTATAAATATAACTATAGATCAACCTTTATTAAAGTTAATCAGTGAAGAGCAGTTAACAATGCATAAATAATGTTTTGAAATATTGAAAATATAAAATGTTAAATACTGTTATTTGAAATTATTTAAAAAAAAAATGAAAAGATACTTTAAATGTGAAATTAAAAATTAAATTAATGAGTGAGTCATTGAGATTCAACCGATTCCTTCAAACGGCTGATTCATTCAGGAAGGAAGCATTTTACTGTCTTAATAAGTGAGTCATTGAATCATTGATTCAGCTGATTTGTTCAAAAAGCTGATTAAGCTGATATGATGAGAGATGTTCATGTAGTGACTTAAAAGATGCTGATTCTATCCTGTGTGTGCATGAAGCTTATTTGAACCAGAACCAATTTGTTAAATATTACAAACCAATTGTGTGAGAAACATGGGGGAACAGAATCCGACAGCAAACAATCCAGCTGTCAGAATCTGTTCCCCCACCCCCATGATGAGAGATGTTGATGTAGTGGCTTAAAAGATGCTGATTTTATTTTATGAGTGGATGGAGCTTAACCAGCTCATCAGTTTAAAGATTAATTATTTGGTGTTTTGCTTTTTATAATGATAAGACAGTATGTAGGCAGGAAGCAAAGTGGGAGAGAGAGAAGGGGGAAAAAATCAACAAAAGTCCACGAGCTGGGATTTGAACTTGAGTCTCACAAAGCGCAACTGCACAATATGTAAGCATGCTGCCCACGAGACTATGGGCTCCAACTAGCCAGCATCAGTTTTGTGAATCTTATAACCTCATTGTATAAGAAACAAGGGGGGAACAGAATTCAACGGCAAATTATCCAGCTGTCAGAATCCGTTCACCCACCCAAATGATGAGAGATGCTCATGTAGTGACTTAAAAGGTTCTGACTTTATCCTGTGTGTGCATGGAGCTTATCCAGCACCAGTTTGATAAATATTAGAACCTCCTTGTGCAAGAAACATGGGGGAACAGAATCCGACAGCAAACAATCCAGCTGTCAGAATCCGTTCCCCCACACCTATGATGAGTGATGTTGATGTAGTGGCTTAATAGATGCTGATTCTAATGTGTGTGTGGATGGAGCTTAACCAGCATCAGTTTAAAGATTTATTTGTTGGTGTCTTTGCCTTTTATTATGATAAGACAGTATGTAGGCAGGAAGCATAGTGTGAGAGGGGGAAATCCACAAGTTAGGATTTGAACTTGGGTCTCCCAAAGCACAACTACACAATTTGTAAGTGTGCTGCCCACAAGGCTATGGGATCCAACTAGCCAGCATTAGTTTTGTAAATATTAGAACCTCATTGTGTAAGAAACATGGGAGTGAAAGAATTTGACGGAAAATTATCCAGCTGTCAGAATCTGTTCCCCCACCCCCATGATGAAAGATGTTGATGTAGTGGCTTAAAAGATGCTGATTCTAACCTTTGTGTGGATGGAGCTTATCCAGCATATTTATTTTATGGTGTTTTTGCCTTTTATCATGATATGACCATATATGGACAGGACTCACATTGTTTTGTATGTGTGTATTTCAGATTGGCACATAGGTGCTACCTGGAAGTGGCATTGATATACTTGCAAGAGTTTGTGCAGATTCCCCCTCCCCCTGGACATCTGACTCCTTCCCCATCATCACCAACACCTGACGAGACCAGCAAGGTGTTGTGAAATGTGTTTGTGTATAACAGCCGAGTTATGTATATAAATGTTTAATATTGTAATATTTATGTACACGTGTGTGTGTGATTTTCTCAGGAAACAGTCAGAGAGACCTACCTATTGCTCTGCTGGATTTGTTTGAGAATAGCTTTAAAGGTCTGTATTGACATCATCCACACATCTGTAAGGACATCACATCTGTGTTCAATGTAAATGATTCGGTAACTCTTTACAAAAAGGTTTCATTAGTTAACATTAATTAACTACTTTAGATATCAAGAACTAACAATGAACAATACTTCTACAGCATTTATGTTAATTAGTCAGCATTATGTTAATTTCAACATTTACTAATACATTATTAAAATCAAAAGTTGTATTTGTTAACGTTAGATAATGCACTGTGAACTAACATGAACAAACAATGAACGACTGTATTTTTATTAACCGACATTAACAAAGATGAATAAATACTGTAATAAATGTTTTGCCCATTGTTAGTTCATGTCAGATAATGCATTAACTAATGTTAACAAATGAGACCAATTATTCATTCTTCTTTTATCCTTTTGCTTCATAGACCTCCGAAGTTTTTGGCAAATATGGCCATTTGCATGGATTCACTGGAGTAACTGAAGGCCCCGTACCCCTTTCTTCAATAAAAGCCCTGCCTGACTTTGCATTGAATGATCTTTTCCACCCTTGTGGTAACCTTTAACCCCAAAATCACAGTTTTGCATTAGACATAGGATTTTGAAGTGCTGTATTGGATTATTTTTATGATTACGATTTTTATGATGTACACTGCAGTTCAAAAGTTTGGGGTTGGTAAGATTTTCTAATGTTTTTGAAAGAAGTCTCTTATATTCACCATGGCTGCATTTATTTGATTAAAAATACAGAAAAAAAAATAGATTTTGTGAATTATTATTACAATTTGAAATAACAAATATTGTAAAATATAATAATCATGTGTCGGCAAAGCTGAATTTTCAGCATCATTACATCTTTGATGAATAGAAAGTTCGAAAGAACAGCATTTATTGGAATTATAAATCTTTTGTAACATTATAAACTGACACTTTGAATAAATGTAATGCATCCTAGCTGAATAAAAGTATTAATTTCTTGCTGATTTCATTGGCAGGGGGGCTAGAAAACCCTGAGAATTGTATCCCCAGACCTGAAGCATTCATAGACCCTGAGAGCGAGATACACAGCAGGAAGTGCCCTCTGCTGACCTGGGTTCATATGTCCCGCTACTACATGCACTTAATCAACCTTCTACAGGTCTCCTCACAACCAGGTACAGCACAAGTATCTCTTTTAAACTAGGTTATTCGATTCATTAATAAATCAATGAATCTACCCTTTGAAAGCATTTGTACTGTATGTTTTTTTTTTATGTAATCCGGTTTTATATGATGGTGTAATTGGCTGTGCTATTCAGGTGCAATGCAGGGTGTTGATGGATTGCTGTCCACGTCCGGTGACCCCAAACTTGCTCTCAGACTCTCATATTTGCACACCTTCTTCAGCTGTCACCAGCCATCTTACAGAGGGCAGTGGGCCATTCCTGATCCCCTTGCAGCTCTAATACTGACGCCTCAGCGAATACAGGTTCATGTTCACACATTTATTACCAGGAATGATGACTTAAAATGATGAGAAAAAAATAAAACCATTGTTTCTCTATTACTCTGTGCCAGCACGATCAGCCCTTGTCAGATCTGTTCCCCTGGGCCAACACGGACATCCAGGAACTGATCATCCAGTGGTACAGACCCTCCTCCGAGGACAACATGGTAGTCAGATACTCAGATTTCTGTTTGTCATTGTGTTTTCAAAAATTATTTAAACTGTTTTTTTTTTTGTTTTTTTTTAGAGTATTCTTTTGATCTACAGTAGCTATCCTTGTATATAGATTAATCGGTTCTCTCTGTCAATGAACATTAGTTAAAAACATGGAAATGGAAATTGTTCGGACCAAATAAGCTGTATAGTCTGTTCATATGATGTATTTCTAGATCCTAAGCAGCAGATTTGTGTTTGATCTCTTCAGATTCTGCTTCTGTTCACTGTGAATAAAGCTCCTATATCAGCAATAAACTCTACTGCAGACACAATGGCTGTACTACAGGCTGGACAGAGAACAATCTGTTTGGACAGGTAGACTTTATGTTCATCTATCCAAAGAAAAACGTAATAAAGAAAAACTTTTTCACATTAGGTGCAATGTGGAGTACATTATTGTCCGACCTTTCTGTTTCTGTTTATTTCATTTAAGTGGTAGTTAATACAACTCAGTTTTCTCTTATGGCTTAATGCACTGGCAGGCTGATGGCTGTTCATGCCTTACTGAGCTCAACATGTGTAGAGGTTGATGGGCATGTTTCACCCTCCTCCAGCTCAGCCTCCTCCTTCAGCCCAGAAGAGCAGAACAGAACGGCTACCTCCACCCCACACCAACAGGTCTTTCTGAGCCCTAAATTGCCATGATGTACCTTCAGAACAATAAATGTTGAATACACTATTAACCTCTTTTTTCATTCTCTTGCAATTGTTTCTTATAGGAAATGCTTTTGGAAAAGGCCAAACATGTTTGCACTGAGATCAGGAATTTTTTGAAGCCTGATTTCAATTCAGCACCCGTCACAGAGGTGAAGTGTCACAGACATTTTTACTGTAACTTTACAATTATTTATATACTATTATAGTATTTATTAATATTTTGAATTTGATTAGATTATGATTTAGGACTAGGTGAAACAATCCCCTGTTTAAGACCTGAGGTATGAGTGGTGACGATGCATCCATCGGAATGGTTTCCTCACTGTGGTAATGGTTTAGTGGGATAAGAATGGGTGTTTAAGCTTCATTGGGGTCATCAGGTGGGCACCCCCCTTCTCTGGTGTTTCAATGATAGGCCCACGACACCTCCAGAGGGCTCATCGGCAGCACCTGGCGTCCCAGGTGTGCCCCCCTCTGCTTTCAACCCTTACATGCCGCAGGTGGTATTAGGGGCCCAGTTGGAGTCTCCCCTTTTTACCCATATCCATCGGCTTGCTTCTTCTGCTGCACCTGAGAGGGCTTTGATGGTTTGGCGTAGGGTTTGGCCTCGCACTCCCAGTTCCTTAAGCAGCCTGATGGTTGACTTGCCCACAAAGCCTCTGCAGCCGACTTCCACTGGGAAAACCTTGGATTTCCATCCGCGTTGCTCAGCATCAGCTGCCAATTCGGTGTACTTAAGTCTCTTGCGCTCAAATGCCTCCTCTACAGCATCCTCCCAGGGAACGGTAAGCTCTATTATGTACACGAAGTGGAGTGATGGGGACCAGAGCACGAGGTCTGGTCTTAGGTTCGTTGTGGCAATCTCAGATGGGAAGTAAAGCCATTTGGTTCAAATCTGCCACCAATTTCCAGTCTCGAGCCTTTCCGAGCTGGCCGCTAACCATGGCTGTATAGCCTTTGGCTATCTTTACCCCTTCTCGAATGAACTCCCTTGCATATGAAGGATGGAATGATGGAGGAGGCAGGGCATTGTTCTTTAGTCGTCTGCACTCCAAGGTGGCTGCTAGGCACTTCAGGACATGGTTGTGCCGCCAGGTATAGCGGCCTTGTGACAAGCTTGTCTTGCATCCAAAGATTTTAAAATTGTCAACTTTCTTTATCATTTAATTTTAGTAGTTTTATTGTTCTTTTGAGGGTGCTAGGATGATAGGTCCATTACATGAAATCTGCAAGAATCACATTACCACATAGTACAAGCTGATTCTGCAGCCAATGAGATTGCTTGATCAACATTTAAATAGTCTGGTTTATTTTTTGCTGTAAGCTAGTTTATCTGTGTATCTACTAGAAAGAGCAAGTCTATACTTGCTCTACAGCAGCGGCATCAGTGTAGCAGATCTAGCCTGCCAAGATTTATATATTATATACAGTATAATGGATCCGTGTGTCACGTCTTAAAGTGACAACAACCTAATATACCTGCTGCCAAATAATGAGATAATATTAAAAATATATTTTTGGAAGTTTTTCCCCATGGCATCGATTTCAAAATTGTGGCTAGTGAAAATGCTGAGTGGCTAATAACTTTGGAAAAGCACTAGCCACAGTGGCAAGTGAGCAAAAAGTTAATGTCAAGCCCTGTTTGTGTGTGTGTGTATATATATATATATATATATATGTGTGTGTGCTTCCGTCTCTAATGTTTGATTCTACCAATGCAGATGCCCTTTGACCCAAGCATGCAGACTCTTCAGAACCTGGAACGCTGCTTTAATCCTGCAACAGGTGGCACGCTGCAAGATACAGTCCTCGTCACGTGGCTCCTCTCTCTTCTGAGTTAAAACCTGGAGCCATGATCTGCCCTGGATTCATAAGATAAAACAAAATAGCCCAACTACACATTTAATATGCTATAAAAATATTTTAATGTTTTAACACCAAATAAAGAGGAAAGCACTAAAAACATGTATTAATTTATTCATAATGTCAGCGAAAGCTTCTATTTTTCCTTTTTATACTTTATTATTTTTTGTTTTTACATCAGCATCCGCATCCGCATCCTCTTCATATTTCCCTTCTGAGGTTCAGTTCACTTTAAATAGCTCATCCGATGTAGGAGATTTATTCATTCACATCTGGAGTATGAGAGGTGTTTTAGTGCTTGGTAAAGCATCCTAAATAAGGAATTGGTGTATTATCATTGGTTCAGCCAGGCTGAGCGGAGGTTGAGAAGGATCTGCACGTCACTGGGAGCCAGCTTGTAGACTCCCAGCTCATTGAGCGCTGACTCTGGACTGGACTGCTGATGGTTTAGAAAGCCATCATCTTCCTCTGACTGCTTCAGCACATCACACAACAACAATGCCGGACCAACCTTAAGAGTCAGGATGATGCAGGCCTCCTTCACACTGAGACAAGGAAAGAGAAATGAAAATGGTTTTTTTCTACACTACCGTTCAAAAGTTTGGGGTCAGTGAGAATTTTATTTTTATTTTTTGGAGGAAAGAAATCAATACTTTTATTTATCAAGGACAGTAAAGACATTTATAATGTTACAAAAGATTCTATTTCAAACAAATGCTGTTCTTTTGAACTTCCTATTCATCAAAGAATCCTAAAAAACAAACAAAAAATACTGTACAACTGACAGACCAACAACTGTTTCAACATTGATAATAATAATCAATGTTTCTTGAGCATCAAATCCTCATATTATACTGATTTGTGAAGGATCATTTGACTCTGAAGACACTGACACTGGTGATGCTGAAAATTCAGCTTTCATCACAGAAATAAATTACACTTTACTATATATTCACACAGAAAACAGCTGATTTACACTGGAATAATATTTAATACTATAACTGATTTCTGTTGTATTTTTAATCAAATAAGCGCAGCCATGGTTAGCAGAAGAGAATTCTTTTAAAAGTATTAAAGTATTTGGGGTACCGACCAAACTTTTGAACGGTAGTGTATATACAGTATTAGCTCTGAATAAACAGACGTACTGTTTAAAGAAGTTTTCAGGTCTCTTGCAGTAGTGTCCAAACAGAGGGAAGAGGTTTCTGGTCATATCGTATTGAAGCTGTGCAGCTCCGCCTTCATTGAAATGGTTATACAGGATCAACTGTGAGTGAGAGCAAAAAACAGATAAACACACTTCATCAATTTACTGTACATAGACTTCATGTACATGTACTCCTGCCTATCGTAAAGTTATTATATGAAATGAACGTCTCTAAGCATTCTACATTTTTTACACAATTGTTTAAACGTTTGGGGTCAGTAAGATTTTTAATTTTTTGGAAAGAAACAAGTCCTTTTGTTTTGGTAAGGATGCATTACATTTATCAAAGACAATTTATTTTTAAAAAAACATATCACGCTTTCCACAAAAATATGAAAAAGCACAACTGTTTTTAACACTGTTAATAAGAATGGTTTCTTTAGCTGCACATTTTTGCAAATTTTAGAATGATTTCTGAAGGATTATGTGACACTGAAGTCTGAAATAATGCTGAAAATTCAGCTTTGCATCACAGGAATAAATTATATTTTAAAATATCTTGAAATATAAATTTGTAATTATTTTAAATTGTAATAATATTTCACAATATTACTGTTTAAATGTATTTTGATCAAATAAATGGAGCCTTTTTGAGTATAAGAAACTTCAAAAAGCTTACAGATCCCAAACTTTTGAATAGTTGTGTCAACATTCGCTTGTGGTAAATTAACAGAAATGGTAGGGTTTAACAGAAAATGTCGAAGCAAGAGACTGACATCTTCGTAGATGAAGCAGTCGAGCCTCTCTGTGAGGCCCTGCCAGAACATCTGAAAAAGAGGAAGACACAACATCTGCTGCAGCTGGAGCAGGTGATCCCGCAGGCAAAGCATCATGGGACATGCAGAGCTGGATAATGACATAGTGGCTTGGTCACTTTGTGATGGCAAGGAGATCCACCTGAAACAGACCAATTTTAGTCAGAGCAAGGTAAAGGCTCTTGAGGTTAAAGGCACACTGTGGAATTTTTGGCCACTAGGGTGCGCTCGACCTGTAATTTTCACGTCTAGTGCCCCTAGAGGCCACCAGCGCCGCAGCATTGTCGCAAAAGTCAACAAACAGTCAACCGGTCAACCTCCCGTGTCTTTATGTCTGTGCAGACGGCATCTGATTTGTATGTTGGAGAAAGTTAATCGATTCACTACTGACCAAAATAATAATATAAATATAAGATTAATAATATAAATCCTATAAAGAAAACAAATTGAATAAAAGTAGCATACGCAGAAAACAATGTCTGATCAGGTAAGTCGCATTGACAAGGGTTGCCCAATCCTGCTCCTGCCGATCGTCTGTCCTGCACAGTTCATCTCCAACCCTAATCAAACACACCTGAAGCAAACAATTAACGTCTTCAGGATCTCTTTGCAATGGGTTGGAGATGAAATCGAGTAGTCGGGAAATCGTGTAAAAAAACTCATATAACTCACTACATATTTCCGTTATTTGCAGTCTTCAGTTTGTTTTTCCTTTTACACAAATACAAACATGTATGAGCTGAAAGGAAAAAAAAACATTTACATTTGTATACGGCAGTATGTTGTGACTTATATCAGTTTTGTTACACGAATTCGCAGTAAATATTACATTATAGGCTACACTTTTATGCCGATGTTTATTTTAAACTCTCCCTTTTTCTTTTTTTGGTCTCCTCTGACAAAATCTTTGCTTTCTTCGCTTTCTTCCGAGTAAGTTAGCTGTTGATTCAGCCATGACGACAACATACAGACGCCGGCAATCCGCGAGTTGAGCTCTCACGTTAGAGGAAGTTGGGGTGGTGGGGGAAGTGACGTATGCCGTAAAGCGGTCGAATTTTGTAGTTCTTTTTGTGCTCGGGTTCCTACCCGAAACCCGAAGTTACATAGTGCTAGTAAAAGTGATACAGACACCTTCAGGCTTCGGCAGACGTGTCATTCAACCTATTGTAAGTCGATGTACCATCTCAATGGGTTTTGGTAATATATTATAAAGGTTGAAAAGTTCCACAGTGTGCCTTTAAAATTAAACTACACTGACAAAAAGCATATTCTCACAAGAAATTATATAAATGCATCATAAGCACAACAGTTTTAGGTTACCTGTCCTTGCAGTATGGCTGTGCCTTCTCCTTGCTGTCTCTCATGACTGCATCCAATAATCGTCCCAGCATGTCTCCTCGTAGCCTCTCCAGCAGAGCCAAAAGAGCCTCAAACAAAGATCCCTCCAGAGAGGCCAGTCGGCCCGTCTCTGTGGCCCCTAGAGGGCCTAGGATCTCCTCGCCCACCGACACCGCCGCCTGCTGCAACTGCAAGAAGAACTGAGAGAAAACACAATGAAAGTGAATCTGTACACACATACGTATTTCTGTTCTAGTTTTTATTAATTCAAGGCTCAAAGATAAATGATAGTGCCCACAACAAAAATAAAAAGAATCATCTTTTATTTTATCTTAGAAATGTACTCTTTGTATTCATGTTGGTTTCATATGGATTTGAAAATCTTTTTACCATTTTTAAGGAAAGATTAAATATAATAACTCTAAAATTGTCATGTGGTCTAACAATGACGTAAAAAGTAATAACATATTTTCCTCTCACCTTGAATACATGCGAGTGTACACATCCTAGTCATTATTTTCGAACAAGTTAAAAAAAGTTATTTTTATATTTAATATGATTTATTACATTGATTTTATAAATAAATATTACTTTTTTGAAAAGTTCACATGACATTTTACAACCTGAACTAACTTTGCCTTGTCATAAAAAGGTCAAAATATCTGATATTTTAAGATTTCCAGGCTTATTGACCTGGAGTCATAGTCATGAGGTCCTCAGGTCCTCATCTCTATGATTTTATTTTATTTTTTTCTGCCTCTTGGTTGCGCCACATGACTTTGATTTGGTGGACAACTGTTTAAAATATTAATAAGCAGTTCCCTTATCGAGTCGGTCTCTCGACATTATGTATGGGGAAATCCATTTTCCTCGAATCATGAAGTCTGATAGAATAACTCTTTTGCTTGCAAATAGACAATGGCGGTCCCGCCATCACCTGATTGGCTGACACTGCTCAATATAGGTGACGGCGGGCGCCAAAAACCTCAGAATCTTTTTTCTTCACTCGAGTCTGTTTTCACCGTTGATGTACGCATTCAGAGCGGAGTATATTAAGGAGTTTTAATTCCCCTCTCGCGTTCCGGTGGATTATATTATGTCTCTTTGTCGCCCGTGTGGTGGACCCATCGAATCCCCGGACGCTAGGGGTGTAACGGTACACAAAAATCACGGTTCGGTACGTACCTCGGTTTTAAAGTCACGGTTCGGTATGTTTTCGATACAGCAAAATGTAAGAAATGCCAGAGAATTTCCTATTTGTTAAAAGAAAAAATATTTTTTAAATAAGTGTGAGTTTTCCTACATCTTGAAACTTTCAGGTCTATAAATGGGTGTCATCTTTGAAGGATGAACAAATAATGTTTTGGTCATCACATTAAAAATAACATTTAAATATATGAAGAGTTCAGATGCAAAAGCCATTTGAAATTTTCTTCTAGAATGATCATTTTTATCAAGCTTGTATATTTAAGTTCAGTAATTTCACTTAAATGGCAATGAAGATTACCTATTAATTGTCATTTGAGTGAAATTACTGAACTTAAATATACAAGCTTCATAAAAATGATCATTCTAGAAGAAAATTTCAAATGGCATTTAGAGGCTTTTGCATCTGAACTCTTCATATATTTATTTATATAATATTTGAGTTTTGAAGTGCTGGAAAAAGATGTGTGAAGTACTTGAAAGCATTTCACTATTCCAGCCAAACTGGTT